GCGCAGAGCGAGCGTGACTGGGTGCGGGTGGGGCGGGATGGGGATGGGGATGAGGGTGAGGATGAGGATGAGGATGGGGATGGGGATGAGGATGAGGATGAGGATGAGGATGAGGATGAGGATGAGGATGGCTGGGAGCGCTCCCGAGCCCGGCTGCCGCTAGATGGGAGTGTGGGAGAGGCGCAGGGCTGGGCAGGCTGCGCTGCCATCGCTCTCATTCGGGATGTTTGCAGCCTTCCCACCCCTCTCCTCTCCCCTCCACCTCCAACAAGGCGCTCGTTTTCTCACTGGATTAAAAAAATAAAGAAGTTCTTTAATGGATTTTAACACAATAGTTCCAGTTCTGCCCTGGGACAGCTTGAGCCGTGTCAGACAGAAATGTCCTGAAGCACTTGGTGTTAATGTCTCAGTGGGTTAAAATCGACTTCACTGCAGAATGTCCTAAAGAAATGGGAAAATAAAAACCTCCCAGGAGTCCCAAGCTTCTGCTTTTGACCAGAACCCGGCCGGAGGGATGTGGCAGAGCTGCAGCTGCAGCACCACCGCAGCAGCGCAGGAACGGAGCAGCCTCCGGGGCACCCCCGGAGAGCCCCAAACCCTGAGCAGGGACACCTGGGGACACGGGACACGGGCGGCCTTGGCAGCTGGGGGACAGCTGGACTTGATCTCCGAGGGCTTTTCCAGCCTCAGTGCTCCTGTGCTGGGCCAACCCTTCCATACCGGGGGGTTCCTGCCCTGTCCCCTGCACCTGGGCAGCTCAGCTATCAGCAGAAGCTCCCAAATTTGGCCCCACACCTCCGTGGCAGGCAGGAGCCAGCTGTCCTGAGCTCGTGTGAGGAATGCACAGGGATTTCCGTGGGGACAGGAGAGCAGCCACCCCCTCTCCCCGAGGTTTCGGGGGTGCTGAGCACACCCAGGAGATGGACCCGAGCTGAGGGACCCTCGGACAGGGCTCGGGGCTCCCCCAGACCCCCGTGCCACTCTCTGCTGTGGGCTGCACGGCCCTGACAGACCCCGGGCCCTGCTGTTGCCATCTCGTGTCCCTTCTGCTGGATTTCCCACCTCCTTTAATTTTTTACCAGTTTGTTTGGTTCTGCTCCCAGCAGAGGCAGCTCCGTGGGAAGGAGAAGAAATCGAGTGTTTATTTTTAGCCAGTGCCAAAAGAGTTCAACCCAAGGCAAATACAATTACTCCAGGTTGTGCACAGACTTCTGAGAGGCTGCAGAGAAATCCTTCCCGAACGGGAAATGCCCCAAAGCCCTGCCACGAGTGCTGGGGGTGAGAGCACAGGGAGATGTCTGAGGGGCACATCCCAGCCCGGTTCAGCGCCTGGCAGGGCTGGGAGGGGGCTGGAGGGTCCCCAGCCCCTAATCCCTGGATTCGGAGGGGTGGGAGGTGGTCTCTGTCCCCCATCTCCCGGCCTGGCTGATGCTGCTGCTCCTGCAGGGCTCTCCCATCCTGTCCCATCCTCCGGGATGCTCTGCTGCCCCACATCCCCCAATGCTGCTCCTGCAGGGGTCTCCCATCCTGTCCCATTCTCCGGGATGCTCTGCTGCCCCATGGCTGATGCTGCTGCTCCTGCAGGGCTCTCCCATCCTGTCCCATCCTCCGGGATGCTCTGCTGCCCCATGGCTGATGCTGCTGCTCCTGCAGGGCTCTCCCAGCCCATCCCATCCCCTGGGATGCTCTGCTGCCCCACGGGTGCTGCTGCTGCTGGGCAGGGCAAGGCGGCTCGAAGCTTTCAGTGTAATTAAGCTGAACAAGAGGCCCAGTTAAATCCCGGCTGCTCTCGCTCTGCCTCAGCGAACACAAAGAGGAGAAAAGGCCCGAGCCAGACAATTAAAACAGCAATAAAACTGCACGGAGAGATCCGTGGAATGATTTTTCCTTGACACGCTCGCCCCCAACAAGTGCCACATGTCCTGTGTATAAATAGCAGCTGCCCAGACTTGCTTAATCATCCCATTGTTGCTTTATAATATTAATTAAACATCTCTCTGGGATTGCTTGCATCCTAATTAAGCAGGGGAACTTACAAAAGACAGCGAAGAAACCAAACAAGTGCGTGCTGGGGGTGCAATTTTGCTAAACCGTGTGCAACTGTGTTAAAAAAAAAAAAGTGAAAATCACAGGACTGCGGTTAAAAGCATTTTTAGAGGTGCCGGGGCACTGATTTGCGGTGCTGGGGCACTGATTTGTGGTTCCAGGGCACTGATTCACAGTCCCGGCAGATCCCGAGTGGCTCTGGGCTGTTCGCTGAGGGATGCTCGGGGGCTCGGGGGGATGAGCATCCCCCGCAGTGCAGGACCCACGGCTGTCAAAGGGACAATTAATTAATCCGGGGGATGAGGGACACGAGGACCAGCAGCCAGGGCTCCCCCAAATCCGCCACACGGGTGACAATATCGTACCCCGAGGGTGCCCAGGTGGTCCCTGCAGGCCGGGACCCTCCTCCCTCCCTCCCTCCTGGAGCCGGGGAGGCTCCAGCACTTTGTTCCCGGCTCAGACTTGTGCACCCTGCAGGGATGTGCTGCGAATTACTTCCCAAATTACGGGAGTAATTAAAATCAATGAGAGGGTATCCTGTTAAATAACGTAATGAGATGAGCACAGTGAGGAGATGAGCGCAGGGGTGGTTTTGTTCTCCTGCCTGGAGATGGTTTTTAACTCTTTCCCCCCTGGCTCCTCCCGGCAGGGCAGGCAGGGCTCCCCCGGGTCCCGCTGGAGGTTTTCCCAGGAAAAGCCTCCAGCTGCTTCCCTCAGAGCTTCCTCCAGAGCGGGGCTGTCCTTCCCCCGTCCCTGGCCTGTGTGGGACACTGGCCATGCCCCAAAGGCTGCAGACACCTGAACCTCAGTGAACCCAGAACTGCCTCTGGGTCCCGTTAACCGAGGGGCAGCAGAGAACAGGGCCCTGAGCTGTGCACGGGGGCTCCACACACGGAATGGGAATGGTCTGAGGGGCATGAGGAGCTGTCTGAGCCCTCCCTGCAGGTCTGGGGGCTGCCCTCATTCCAGAGGAAACGGAACGGCCAAGGAACCCAAGGGCCCAGAGTTGTCCTGATTCTGCTTCTGGCAGGGCAGGGGAGCCTCAGCCCACTCAGATACACGTGGAGAGCTCCTGGGTGCTCTGGGAAGGGCAGAGGCATTGTCCCATTGTCCCATTGTGCCATTGTCCCATTGTGCCATTGTCCCATTGTCCCGTTGTGCCATTGTGCCATTGTGCCATTGTCCCATTCATTGTCCCATTGTCCCATTGTCCCATTGTGCCATAGTGCCATAGTGCCATTGTGCCATTGTGCCATTGTGCCATTGTCCCATTGTGCCATAGTGCCATAGTGCCATTGTGCCATTGTGCCATTGTGCCATTGTGCCATTGTCCCATTGTCCCATTGTGCCATTGTCTCATTGTGCCACTGTGCCATTGTGCCATTGTCCCATTGTCCCATTGTCCCATTGTGCCATTGTGTCGTTGTGTCATTGTCCCATTGTGTCATTGTCCCATTGTGCCATTGTCCCATTGACCATTGTCCCCTTGTCCCACTGTCCCCTTGTCCCATTGTCTCCTAGTCCCCTTGTCCTCTTGTCCCACTGTCCCCTTGTCCCATTGCCCACTGTCCCACTGTCCCCCTGTCCCCTTGTCCCCGTCCAGCCTTGGCACTGCCGGGCTCTGGGGCAGCCCCACTGCTCTGGGTGCCCGTGCCAGGCCCTCAGCCCCGACAGGAGGATTCAAACACCGCGGGGCCGTGCCAGCCCCTGTGCTGCCCTGCAGAGCCCGGGCAGCCGCTCCTGGCAGCAGGAGCTGTGCCACGCTTTGGCAGTGGGGCTGCTCCATCAGGGGCAGCTCTGGGTCCTGCTGGCGGCCATCTGGCCGGGAGGGCAGGCTGGGGGCTCGGGAGGGAGCCCCGGGAGCAGAGCAGCTCTGGAGAAGCCCTGGATTAGGCTCAGAGCTAAATCCTCTCTGCCCATGGAGCCATCTGGGCCAGCCCCGTCCATGTCCACCCCGGGACGTGCCCGGGGCTGCGCTGCCCACCCAGCCGGGCTCACTGAGCGGGGATTTATTCCCAGGGAGGAGATTCCCAGAGATCCCAACACACCAGGCTGCCCCTGCCTTCCCTGCCCTTCCCAGGGCAGCCTCTCCTCTAATTCCTGCCCCGTGTCTGGGCTCAGCCACTCCTGTCAGCCCTGCGAACACGGCCAGGCTCCTCACACACTGTCACCCTGCTAATTAATCTGTGAGTTATTTGGTGTGGCAGTGTGACCCCAGGGCTGGGGCTGGGAGCCCAGGGCTGAGGCCAGGCTGCTGCAGTGCAGGAAAAGCTGCTCCTCTCTGGAAAACTCCTTCTCTCTGCTGAGCCTCTGGAAAGGAGCAGGGAGGTACCACCAGGATGAGCTGCTGATAACAGAGCAGGAAAACAAACCGCTTTGCAAGCAGCCTTTCAGCATTTCAGAACAACAACAAGAGCCTGCCGGGATCCTGCAGCAGGGCTGAGCTGCCCGCTCCTCTCCTTCTATGGGCACGAGCAGGGCTGCCCTGTGCCTATATTTAATTTGCAAAGGACAGAAAGAATTCTGCCTGCACGCCTCCCTGCCTCGGGAGCGACAGCAGGAACGGAGCCGGTGTTTAATAAAAAAGGAATCCCTGATGGGACAGCAGCCCCTCTGAGCAGGAGAGAAGGCAGCAGGGCAGTGCCAGGCTCTGGGTTATGGGGCAGCACCAGGCTCTGGGCGGGGCTGTGGGGCAGTGCCAGGGGCTGGGCTGGGCTGTGGGGCAGCACCAGGGGCTGGGCTGGGCTGTGGGGCAGTGCCAGGCTCTGGGCTGTGGGGCAGTGCCAGGCTCTGGGCTGTGGGGCAGTGCCAGGCTCTGGGCAGGGCTGTGGGGCAGCACCGGGCTCTGGGTTGGGCTGTGGGGCAGCACTGGGCTCTGGACTGCCGATGGCAGCTGGGAACAGCGGGGAAATGCCCGGAGGGAGAGAAGAGAGCCGGGGTGTCCCACAGCACAGTGACACCGATCCCACTTTATTGGAAACTCTCGGAGAGCCGGACACGGAAGAACTCGGCTCTGTCAAAGGGGTTTGTACAACAGGGAACACAGCAGGGAATGGGGGAATGAACTTTGCATCTGGCTGAAAACCAGCAATAACAAAATAAACTTCAGCAGCCTTGTACCTGGAGCAATGCACAGAGTCAAGGGGAGGGGAGAGGGGCAAACCCACCGAGACCCCGGTCACAAACCCCCGTGGGGAGCCTTGTGCCCCACTGGTTTGGCTGGAGGGAGAGAGGCTGGGAGGGCACCAGGGATAAGAGTTTAAGGGGAAACCCCCCGAAGTTGGGGGTTTGCCCCCCACTCAGCAATTGTTCAAGTCTCATAAATTCAAACTCATTTCTTCCCATTTAAATAACCAGTGCTGCAGGTACAAGGCTCGGGACGCTGGTTTGTAACCCAGTTTGAAGTGCACACAAGCAGGAATAGATTTTTTTAACAAAACTATATATATATATATATTTGCACACTCATACACACACATGCACACCGTGGATTTTGTGCTGCACCATTGAGCTGGAGATGATGGAACGGGCCTGGCGCCGGGAGCTGCTCACCTGTGGCACCGCTCGCCCTAAAGCTGTGAAAGATCTGCGTTATTTTGTCACTTTGGTCCCCAAGGTGTCCCCAGGCGGGGCTGCAGCAGCTGCTGCCCAGGCAGTCCCTGGAGCCGCAGCTCTCCAGGAGGATCCGCAGCGCATTCTGCAGGACTCGTCCCTGGCCCGGAGAGCTCAGCGTGTCCTGGGCAGCGGCCCCGGCCCCGGGCGGGTGTGGAGGCGTGGGCAGAGCCAGGCTCAGACCCACACGGCCGTGTTGATGTCAAACCCCGCCTGGCCGTGGCCTCTGCCGTCGGGGACTCTCCTGGCGCTGGTTTTGGGGCGCTCAGCGTGGCTCTCTGCCCTCGGGCACCTCTCTGCTTTGCTGTGGTGGCTCTGCAGGTTCCCGTGGAGGGGCAAGTAGAACGTCCCCTTGAGTTTGCTGATCTTTTTGGACCTCTTGGAGATGTCGGGCCGCTGCTCCTCGGGAGGGAGCCAGCACGGCTTCTCCTTGAGCAGCCGGTCGCGGTCCGGCCGGACGCTCCTCAGGAACTTCTTGAAGATGTTGGCGGTGAGGGAGAACTTCCTGCAGAGCTCCTGGGACCTGCTGGCCGACAGGGCCGCCTCGCTCTTCTCCCCCTTCTTCTCCAGCTCGGGCAGGTCCAGCCAGTTCCCCACCAAGTCCGCAAAGACGTTGTCCCCCAGCACCAGCGGCTGCCGGGTCCTGCTCTGGGACATCAGGGACGACGTCCAGTCGTGGCCATCGTCGCAGCCCGGGCACTCGTGGCACGGCGGCCAGGCCGTGGGCACGGGGCAGGGCGGCCCTGGGGCACAGGGGCTGTCCCGGGGGTGGCTGCTGCCCGGGGTCACGGCAGGCTGGGACACGCTGTCCGGCCCTGGCACGGGACACGCCGGGCTCGGGGGGCAGCGGCCACGGTCCTGCCCGGGCCCCGCGCTGCTCCGGCCGCAGCGGCGCTGCTCCGCGGGGCTGCGGCGCCCCGAGATGTCCAAGTGCTCCAGGGCCGTCTGCACCTGCAGCAGCTTCAGCTCCTGCAGGGCGCCCATCATGCAGTTCATCTGCTCGTGCAGCCCGTCGCCCACCTCCTTCATGGAGAGCTGCCAAGGGAAGAGCACAGCGGTCAGTGTCCCCTCCCTGAGGGTCAGCGGCCCCTCCCCGAGGGTCAGTGTCCCCATGAATCAGTGTCCCCAGCAGTGTCCCCATGGGTCAATGTCCCCAGCAGTGTCCCCAGGGCAGGACAGCAGCAGCCTGGGCAGGGCTGAGCAGTTTCTGGGCCATGCCCTCCCTCCTGACCACCTCTGCCTCCCGCCTGCTCTGCACCCACTTCAGCCAGCAGCACTCCCATTCTCCTTAGATTTTCTAGGAGTGTCCCCCAAGGAATAAGGGGAGCTGACAGAAGTGGATTGTTTGACCTGACAACAAAAATAAAGAGTCTGAGTTTCCATTAATTGCTTGGCAGAAACCCAGGGTGTAGAACTATGAATGGTTTTGGCTGCTGCCAGTTTTAGAATATTCTTGTGCTTTTGTGTCTTTTGCGCCGTCACCAGCCGAAATCAGGAGCCAGAACAGAGCCTTGCTTCCTCACCTGAAGTGCTCAAGTAGATTAAAAATAAACCCCAGGAAGATTAAATTGCTACTCCATAACACATCTCCAGCCCTCAGCGCCCTCAGCACAGGCACCTCTCGCTACAGGACAAAGACATTTCAATGCACGGGAAATTCTGCACAGAACAACCAACAAACTCCAGGACTACTTACATTCAAGCAGGAATTCTTGGATTCCCAGGCTAGGACCTTTAGTAGCAGTTCTGCTTCATCCCTGAACCTCACTGCAAAGATTGAACTTTCTATGCCAGGCTTAAAACAAGCAAGTTATTCTCCAGAGCTTCCCAGCTGCCCCTCTCTTTCGCTCCGCTGCCTTCTCATGCAGGATCTGGATCATATTCCCAAAGCAGCACCAGGGAGAACGGGCTCTGCTCTCCAGCAGCTGCCACAGATTCATTTTTAGCAGGAGGGGGAGCAGCAGGGGCGGCAGGCTGGAGCTGAGCCCACGCCGCTCTGGGCCGGGAGTTCTGCAGAGATTGCCCCGTCCAGGGAAGCTCCAGCCCACGCTGGCACCAGCAGCTCTGGAGGCTCATCAACATTAGGGTGAAAAAGGCCAGCTTTTTCTTTTATTCTTATGCTCAGCTTTACATTACCAAGCTTTATTTTCTACATCTCCATTTGGACTAAGCTGGTTCAATTACTCGCTCTATTTCCATCTCTGAGCAGCCATCAGAAAACTGTGACAACCCAGCTCTAAGTCGAAACTGCTCAACTGTTTCTGACCACAAATCCCCATTTCCAGCCCCAGAACCTTGAACTGAACAGGTTACAGTCATTTCCCTCAGCTTTTTTCTCAAGAAACTTGTTTATGACCCAGAATGAGCACACAGCTACAAAGATACAGAAAATCTGTGCTCAGCTTCCTGATTCCACTTCCCAGAGCCTCCAGCTATGGCATTTCTTAACACCAGCAAATAAACTCACGCTGCAGACGTGCAAAGAGTGTCCCACTTGCAGCCCCACCACGCTCCCACTGTGAGCTGGGGCCAGCCTCAGCCAGAGCTGCCACCTTACCTGCAGATCTGCTGAGATGCTGCTCCTCCTAACCTTCCCTGCTTATTAATGGCAGCCTGTGTGATCTGGGGCTTTGGGAAAAGCTGGATTTGGAGCCAGCTTGGCCCCTCATTGGCCACTTCCCACCAAATCCCGTGTGGTAATCGCGCCATGGGGAGCGCAGGGTCCTGCCCGGGCTGGGCTGCTCTGCCCCGGGCACCTGCCCGGGCTGCCAGGGCCAAAGGGGCATTTCTCCTCCTGGACCGAGTGCTGGGCTGCCAGAGTGGGCCAGCAGCAGCCTGGGCAGCCTGGAGTGCTGGAGAGAAGAGGGGACAATTTCCCCTGGGGACGCCTCTCCTGGGAATGACCGATGGGGCCCTGGGCTGAGCCCTGGCAGCACAGGGAGGAGGAGAGGGGCTCTGAGCTGTGGGGGCTCTGGGCTGTGGGGGCTCTGGGCTGTGGGGGCTCCTCTGTCCTGCCCCAGGCCCTGCCCTGGCAGGGGGAGTCCCACCCTGAGCAATGTGGAGCCCACCAGCAGCACCCGAGCTCTCAGCACCCCGAGGCTTTCACCTCCGCTGGCAAATGCTGCTGCAATTTTGGGTTGTGCAAGTGAAAAAATGAAGCAAACCAACCCCCTCTGCTTTATCTTCTGCTCTTTGTGGTATCTGCTCAGTCTTTTACAGAGCTGGAGAGAGAGGGGAGCCCAGCCCAAAGTGAAGTCACTGCCTGGTGACCAAACAGCCTGAGGGGCTTGGACTCCATCCACCTGCAATTAAGAGTACTCACCTTGGAAAGAAAATTCTGGAGGGAAAAGAATCCTTCCCCACTGTCTAACTGCCAGCCTCTCCTCCTTGCCAAGACCTCAGCCCTCCCAAGTTCAGACTGGAATCTCTGAGACTCCCCAGAAAAGGAACGATGTCCCAGAGAACAGAGATCACCTCCCTGGCAGAGGGTCAGGACTGAACTACCTGGTCTGTGGGAAGAAAAAGGGATTCTGCAAAACATCCAGCAGACTGGGCTGGAGATCAAATGGATGCAGGGCTGGAGGTGATGAACTCCAGGCGAAGGGACAGCCCTCACAGCCTCACCACACGGTTCCAAAAAAGCCCTCTTAGAACCACGACAAGATATCCAAACCTATCCCTACAAACCAGTTAAAAATCAGATGCCTCAAATTGGATCTCATTATTCCTGAAACTTTTGCAATCCCTAAAATTGGCAGGAAAAATTTGATGTCTAATTCTGCACAAGCCAACTCATGCCTTTTAAAGCAAGACAAGTACTCATAGGGCTGTGTTCCCCTTCAGTGCCTGGGATGTGATGGGAGAGGTTCCTTTTGAGGAGCCAGGTATTACCTGGCTCAGCCCTCAGTGCTCCTCCCAAGCAAAGCTCATTCACATTACAGACACCCCAAGCACTGAAAACTGAAGTGCAAAATTCAAAATTCCATTTCCCAATGATCATCAAGGAACATTCAGCGTGGGGGGGAACCAAAGAAAGGACTGCCAGAGCTCATATAGAGTGGGTTTTGCTCTGGAAACGCACCAGGCGGAGCAGCAAAGGCACCCACTGCTTTGGAAACCCCCTTTCCATGATCTCCTCACCTCCCAGACAATAACCCACAACTGCTTTACTCAGCTGGGAAATCAATGATCTTCCACCTCTGATTAATTTACACAGCAGGGCAGAGCCTGGCCCGAGGAGTCTCCTCCAGCAGTCACTGGATTTCATCACATTCAGCCTCAAACACCCCAGACCCACAAGTAAGGCAGATTTCCCTTGCCACTTCCCCTTCCCAGGTAAATGATCATTTTTTTTATTTACCCTTCCCAGATAAATAATGATCAGCGCTTTGGGACGGATGTTCTCCTGTTAAATCTCCCTTGCCAGCTCTCAGGCTCCAGCCCAGAGCTCTCTGCCTGCCCAGGGCCAGCACCTCTGGGTGCTGATGGAAATGAGGAGCCCGGCCCCCGGCCCAGCCCTGGGTGTTTGCACAGCCAGCAGGAACACAGATGTGCAGCTCTCAGGTGAAAGAAACACACACAGAGGAAGTTATTGCTAAGAGGACAGGAAAGAACAAATGGCAAATAGTTCTTAATAATAGTTCTGATGGGCAACAGAGCCAGCACCAAACAATTGGTATTTAAAGCAGATGACATAATGAGACTGAAATAACTTCAGAACTGCTGAGCTGCTGATATTGTTTCTGTGTTTCCCTTTGGGTCACTAACTGGATTAATCTCCAGCAAGCCTGCAGCTGTGGCTGGGCACAGCCTCGCTGCACAGAGCTCTCCCCAGCCCTCGTTCACCTTTCTTTCCTTCCCCTGCAGCATGCCAAGGGCCTGCAGTTGTCTTCCAGTCCCTGCATTTTATCACAATAATTTCAGGTGCCTCTTTTACCTCTTGTCTTCCCGGGGTGTGTTAGGTGTGCATGAGGACGCCAAGTGCGAGCTCAGAGTTTATCTGAAAGAGGAAGGATGCTGAAACTGAACCAGACTCCCCCTCACAACAACCCAACAGCTCCTAAGCAGATGTTAACCATGGCAGATGTGGTTCACATCACTCCAAACCCCACCTTCCTTCCCAGCACACGGTTATTGTTCTGTGCTTCCCAGTCACACTCCCTGTGTTTACAGGCAAATCAGAAAAATCAATTCTCCTCAACCAGGATAAAAATGGGCCAAAAATAACTCCAATCTTCAGACTTCTACTCACAACCCAAGGATAAGAGAGACTCCTGGACTCGATGGACAGACTGAAGATGATGGTTAAAAGTGTCAGTTTTCTGCCCAGACCCGCTTCCCTGGGAATCTGCTCTTTAACATTCCTGATTCTGTGCAACTGGGAGTCTGAAAAAAATCCATCCTCATCTTTAGGTGACTGCTCTGGAAATAACCCAGAGGACAAAGGCTGTGACTGCCCTCCCTCCCCAGCTAAAGGTGACAGGACATCTGCTGTCAAGTCACTCCTCAGCACCTTCCCCCAGAACAGCGAGGGAGGAGATCTGTGACAAGCACCCAACCTTCTGGCACTGCTGAAATCACCCAAAAAGGGGCCAGCACCAGCTGAGACACCCTGGGGCTGCCTGTGCCCACTGCTGGAGCTGAGCAGCGGCACCAGACCCTCGGGGCTGTGGTTTGTGCCCCGCAGACTGCAAAGCTCCCGAGCTGCCCCTTGGGAGAGGGCAGCAATGAAACACTGCAGATCCTCCCAGAGCGTGACACACAGGACCCACTGTCAGACAAAGAGCAAAAATAATTGGCTGCATTTTCCACTCGGACCCAATGTTCTATTCCTGCAGGATATTCATAGCAAGAAACATTGTCTACCAGGACATAAATTAATGTAAGAGGGGAGTCAGACTCTATCAAATTCAGTAATTTGATGCATTTATGACAAATGTGCAGGGAGAACATTAAAAGTTCAAGTCAGAGTGGTGACTTAAATACTTTTCCTCCCAGAAGAAAGCATCAGAAAGCCCAGATATCTCCTGGATCCCTCTGGAAGACCAAGCAGAGCTACAAGCACTGCCAAGCAAGGTTACAAGCACAGCGACGGTGGCTGTGCCCCCTCGCCTGTTCCAGCCACACAAACCCCAGGTGCCAGGTAAATCTGCCCCATGGGCTCAGAGCTCCCAGAGAGGAAGCAATGGTTTATTCCAGCTGCAGAGGAGCCCCACGCCCCCGCCCCACGTCCGTGGTGATGCTCTGCACACCAGTGCAAGCTGCCCTGGTGTCTGGGAGCGCAGGCTGGCACTGCCACGTGCAGCACAGACAGGAACTCCTCCCTGGCAGCCCCTCAGCAGGGCAATTCCTGACACCCCCGAGCTCTGGGCTGAGACAATCCTGTGGCTGGGGCAGCAGCACCGCCCTGCTGTGCCCCAGCACAGCCTGCAGGCTCCCAGTGCAGGCAAGGGGCTCTGAGGATGGGGTTAGAGGCAGGATGGCACACTGCCCAGCTCTGGGGCACATTTCACAGCTGCCAGGCAGCCAACAGGGGTGCAGGAGCACAGCTAATCCCAGCTCCAGCCCTGGAAACCAGCGCTGCACATCCCCACAAGCCACAGCGTGCCCATACATCTCCAGGGGCTTCCCGGAGGAGGAGAAGAAGGTCTCTGCATCTCCTGCAGAGGTGCAGGGAGCTGGCAGGGCCGGGCTGGGGTGGGGGTGGCAGCCCCAGCAGAGCTCCCTGGTCCCGCAGCGTGAGTGGCTGTGCCAGCTGCGGCTCTGCTGCCCGTGCAGTGCCTTGGAGGCTTCTGAATGGATTCCAAGCCCAGGGACAGCACAGATGCCAGAAACGATCAGCTTACAGTGGAAACCACGGCTGGGACGGGAGCTCTCAGCTCCCGGACTGAAAGGGGTCAGGGCCACGCTCGGGAGCCCCGGCAGAGCTTTCCCAGAGGAAATGGGAAGCAGGGACAGCGTGCCCGGCCTGGCTGGCACAGCTCGCTGTGCTCTCAGCACAGTGACACAGGGGCCACACAGCCCCAGACAGGCACACCAGCAATCAGGCGTGTTTGTAATGAACAGAGCAAGGGAAAGGAGAAGCAGACCCGGAATCCTCCCTTCTCACACTGCGGGGGGATTGAGTTGCACTGGGAGATAACCTTTCCTTGGGAACTGGGAGCTGTGCCAACATCCACTATTTTTTGAGAAAATCCCCTCCTCAAAACCGGCCAAAAGTCTGGTTTGCCAAATCAGAGGCTGCCTGCACTGAGACAGACTAAACTTTGCTGATGGGATGGTCTCTAACCTTGGCGTGTGACACTGAGCAGCCCTAAATGCCTGGCTCCTCACAGAGGGCAGCTGGGCAGAACCTCCCTGCACTGGAGGCTCCTCGGACACGGCCCAGCCCGGGCTGCCCAGGGGATGCCAGGGCTGCACTGCCCCGTTCCCACTGCCCGCGGCGCAGCTGGGCCCAGCTGGGCTGCCCTGTGCACAAACACTCATCTATTTCCACTCCAGGAGCTGGTTTTCCCAGGCTAAGTCGTGGTTTATTAATGTAATAAAAACTGTTGCATTTTTACAATTGAAAAAAAATCAATTCCTGCATTATAGCAAGGACTGAACAAAGCCAGAATTTTCTCATTTAAAGTTTTTTTTTTTTCACACATTTAGTGTGAGGGATCTCTCTTCCTGTTGAATATATGGACTCTTCAGAAGTTATATTTTGCACTACAAAACAGGAATGTTTTAGCCTCAGAGGTGCAATGTTTAGGCTCCTCTACAAAAATACTGCTCAGATAACAAAACCGACTTGGTTAGAAGACAAAACACTGATTTAGGGACCTTTTCTTAGGATGTCCTTCTGGAAGCTATTCCTTCTCCCATTCACCTCCCAGCTCAGATTTCCAAGGGCTGTCAGATTATTCTGTTCGTGTCCGGTTGGCAGTTTGCATTTCATTCATCACGCTCAGCGTACAGCACACCAGTGACTCCCACTTCCCTTTGTTTTAGTTTGTCTTTCACCTCCTGGGTTTGCTGGGGAAACACAGGGAACGCCAGCAGGTTAAATGTCACTGCTGGCACTTTATCGAGGGCAAAAGGCTTCTGCCCAGCCCGTGCTTCACAGGCACCGGGTCTGGAGGAGCAGGGGCTCTGCAGCTGCAGCCTGGCCCTGCCCGGGCACAGCTGGAACTTCTCCAGCTGCCCTGGGACTCGCTGGGGCTGTGCACGGAGCCCTGAACAGCTCCAGGGAGCAGGAACCCGGCTGAAATCACCTCCCTCAGCCCAGGGAGCACGAACCCGGCTGAAATCACCTCCCTCAGCCCAGGGAGCACGAACCCGGCTGAAATCACCTCCCTCAGCCCAGGGAGCAGGAACCCGGCTGAAATCACCTCCCTCAGCCCAGGGAGCACGAACCCGGCTGAAATCACCTCCCTCAGTCCAGGGAACACGAACCCGGCTGAAATCACCTCCCTCAGCCCAGAGCCGGAGCTTCTCGCATTCACAAACTTCACCCACCCGTTACTGCTCTGCCTTGCCTTCCCCTTTTGTTCTCATTATCTATTTATCAGGGCAAGGCTGGCTCCGAGGCAGAGCCGCTGGCAGCCTGGTTCGGGAGGTATCGGTTCCCCTGCCAGCCCGCCCCGAGCACCGGCACCGCCCCGGGCAGCGGACGGGCCGCAGCGAGCCCCGGGCCGCGGTCCCGAGCGGGAGCGGCGGAGGGCGAAACGCCGCTCCTTTCTGACAAAGGCTTCCCTATCACAGAGGGGTTTGCACAGCGTTCCGGGGCTGCCAGCGCGCTCCTTTTACAGCCTTGCCATTCCCAGAAAGTTGCTCCTTTCCATCTCGGCAGCCGCTTCCCTGATTTCTGACCTGCGCTGGCACCTTGTCCCTAAAGCCCCCGCACACCCCCGCCGCGGCTTCTGTCCGACAGACGGACGGACGGACAGCCGGGACCTGCCCCGCTCACAGCGCCGGGACCCCCGACCCATAACCGGGACCTGTCCAAAGCCGCCCCCGCCGCGCAGCCCCGGGACGCCCCCGGTGCCCCGATCCCCGGCCCTTACCAGCTCCTGCCGCAGGCGCCGCAGGTGCTGCTCCATGGCCCGGCTGGGCGCGGGGCCGCCGCGGGAGGGGCTGTCCCGGGCTGTCCGGGCTGTCCGGGGCTGTCCGGTGTCCGGGGGCTGCTCGGTGTCCGGGGACTGTCCGGGGGCTGCCCGGTGCTCGGTGTCCGGGGGCTGCCCGGTGCCCGGTGTCCGGGGGCTGCCCGGTGCCCGGTATCCGGTGGCTGCTCGGTGTCCGGGGCTGCCCGGTGTCCGGGGGCTGTCCGGGGGCTGCCCGGTGTCCGGGGGCTGCTCGGTGCCCGGTGTCCGGGGGCTGCCCGGTGTCCGGGGGCTGCTTGGTGCCCGGTGCCCGGTGTCCGGGGGCTGCTCGGTGCCCGGCGTCCGGGGGCTGCTCGGTGTCCGGGGGCTGCCCGGTGCCGGTGTCCGGGGGCTGCCCGGTGTCCGGGGGCTGCTCGGTGCCCGGTGCCCGGTGTCCGGGGGCTGCTCGGTGTCCGGGGGCTGCCCGGTGCCCGGTGTCTGGGGGCTGTCCGGGGGCTGCTCGGTGTCCGGGGGCTGCTCGGTGTCCGGTGTCCGGTGGCTGCTCGGTGTCCGGGGGCTGTCCGAGGGCTGCCCGGTGCCCGGTGTCCGGGGGCTGCCCGGTGCCCGGTGTCCGCGGGGCGGCTCCGGGGGCGGTGGCAGCGGCGGCGCCGGGGCCGCGTGTGCGGGCGGCGGGGCGGGGGCAGCCGCATCCCCCGGGCCGGCCCCGGCGGCCGCGGCCCCGCTGGAGGCGGCGGAGCTCCTGCAGCGCCGGCCCCGCGCTCCGCCCGCCCGAGCGGGGCTCCCGAGCTCCTGTCGAGAGCCGCGTCCCGCACGTCGCTCCGCGGGCGCGGAGCACCCGCCAAAAGCGCGGATTAACCTACATGGCCCTGAGCAGGAGAAACTGCAAAGCCACCGCTTGCCGTGTCCCCGTTCTGTCCTCGCCGCGGGCTGGATGCTCGTCCTGTCCCGGGCAGCGCGGGGGACGCGGCGGTGCGGGCCGGGGACAGACACAGGGACCGGGAGGGGACACAGGGACCGGGAGGGGACACAGGGACCGGGCCAGGACACAGGGACCGGGAAGGGACACACGGACCGGGCCGGGACACACAGACCGGGCCGGGACACACGGACCGGGCAGGACAGGTACACACGGACCGGGCAGGGCAGGGACACAGGGACCGGGCAGGGACACACGGACAGAGCTGGGACACAGGGACAGGGCAGGGACACAGGGACCGGGCAGGACAGGTACACACGGACCGGGCAGGACAGGGACACACGGACCGGGCAGGACAGGCGCTCGGAGTGCCTCAGGGGTTTATCTATTTTCAGGGGTTTATTTTTTGGCCTCGCCGCCCCGCGGCCGCTGTTTCAGCCCGTGGCAGTCCGGCTGTGGGGATGTCGGAGCTAACGGCCGAGCCCCTTCAAGTCCAGGATTCTTTTATCTCAGATCAACCTCTAATACTGCTTCTCACCACAGGACACCAAACAGATGGACAGGCGAGCAGGGGAAAAAAATACAAACACTTTTGGATCACCAGACTTCAGAACTGCGCTGAATTTGAAAGGGTTTGAAGCTTTGAGTGTCTCTCACAAATAAATATTATTCTCATCTTATCTGCCAAATGTGTTGTTTAGATGATAAATGCTGAGTCCCCTGTGACAATTTAGTCTGAGTTGCTCTGCAATGCTAAAGAACTTGTTAGGAGGAGAAATAATACTTTGTGTTTTCAAATTTGGGATTATAAACGTAATTACTTGGTTGTTTTCCCATAAATTTCACATAGACTGGCTAAAACTTTTGCCTCTCCAGGTCTTTATTTTTTGGAGGAAAACATTTTTTATAGAAGGTAATAGGATTTGGTTTGTTTGCTTGTCTGTTTACAGAAATCAGTTTCAGTGTTTTTGAAAGTGACCTTTGTGTCAAAATCCAATTAAAATGGGAAATTTGCGATCTGCCCTTTCACATGTGTTTGGGAAACACTCCAGAGTTAATGTTTATTGATCCTTCCAGCGTCTGGGTAATTATGGGTCAAAATCTCCTGTCTCCTCGCTCATTTCAGGGCTCCTGTTTCCCATCTGTTCAGCACGGGAACAGCAGCACACCCTTCAAGGCTCTGTAGAATGTGGGGCTGTAACGATATTAATTTATGGAAGAAATGACCTTATCAAAAAGTGAATCACTTCTAAGAGGCCATGCCATGATGTGAGTGGGTACTTGGCGTCCCTCGCAGTCACAGCCAGCCAGCCCAGCTATGATTTTCTGCCCGAGGGCTGGCAGGGTTGGGGGCTGGCAGGGTGTGGGGGCTGGCAGGGTTTGGGGGCTGGCAGGGTTTGGGGGCTGGCAGGGTTTGTGGGCCAGGGAGAGTGTGAGGGAGAGTGTGTGAGGGAGAGTGTGCCAGGCAGAGTGTGCCAGGCAGAGTGTGCCAGGGAGAGTGTCCCAGGCAGTGTCCCAGCACAGGTTACACACCAGTGTGTCCCACACAGGTGAGAAGGGCCAGCTCAGTGCCCAGCTCGCTGCAGCACTCGGGATTGAGCTGATGCTGTCCCATCTGACGATACCGCGGCTGTTGGAAGGACCAAACCGGACTCACACGATGTTTTACCTTCGGGGTTCCAGAGGCCACCTGCACCTGCACAAGGCAAGTGGCAGATGCTGCAAGCTCCTGTGCCCCGTGTGAGCCACCAAATCTGGGATCTCTGGCAGATGAACAGGAAGAGCTCCGAGGCTCCGTTTGGCTTCTGCTAAGGACATCTTTTTGATCCCTTTTCCAGCCTCGGGGCTGCTCCTGTCCCAGGAGACTGATAAAGGAGTTCAGGAGCACAGAATAAAGAGAAGACCGGAATATTCATGTGCTCCAAACTCCTGGGAACTTGCAAGGGAAGAGAAAAATCTGAAATATTTTCTCAGTAGAATTTCCTTACTAAGCAGCATTTTTCTCTTGTCTGTAGACAACTGGTTCAAAGCAGCACCGACACCTCATGCCAGGCCCTGCACTCCTTCCACTCTGTCGTGGTGTAAACCATGAGCAGATGGCGCAGTGCACTGGAAAATCAGATCTCCGAGAAAGTGCAGAGCCAAGAATAAAACTCTCTGAAGCAGAAAGCTACATGGTTTATTTCAGGACAAAAAGAAAAACTGAGATCCTTAGGCAAAAATTAGAATACTCCTTCAGAGTGGAGTATTCCACTTCTATGAACAGCCTTGTTCATTCTGATTGAGGGAAAATTCACCCCTTCACAGCTGAAGGCTCATCTCATTTGTTGTCTTTCAGTTCATTGATCTGGTTTCTCCAGGCTCCCACATGACTGTTCTTTGCTGAACTAACAAGCGTGGTTATCACTGAATTTTCCTTCCTTTTGACTTTCTGCACACTGACGACAAACCTTTCAGAATTTCCTCCCACTTCAGCTGCAGCATGACCTGAATTGAATCCATCCTTGTTTAAACCCACTGGGGCAGAAACACCCAGCCACGATAGGTAAGGATGTAATGTCAGAACTTTGGCTGGTTTTATATTTGTGCATAAAGAGATAAAATAGCCCTGAAAATATGACTGTTTCTTCCATTAAGTTTAATCTAGTGCATACAGCCTCTGCACTTGTGGCCTTTATATGTGAAGCTCTGACATGCCCCAGCCTCACTATGCCCATCCCCAAAATAAAAACTTCTAACGCTGCTCCAGCCAAATTCCAGCTCCTGGCATTGCTCTGCCTGCACTGGAGTGCCAGGAGTAAGGAGCAGGGCAGCTCCTTGTGCACTGCCTTGTGCTGAACATCTCCTGCATTTCATCTCGGCTCGCTGCGTTCTTGTGACCTAGATCCTGCTCACATGAGCGCAAAAAATAGTGTAGCAAATCTTGGTATCTAAGATTAAACTGGGATGATGATTATTTATTTGGAAAACAACAGGAGTGAAATAGTGGCATTTCTCTCTGCAGAGCTGAAATAGCTGCTCTGACCCGATCCCTCAGGTCAGCTTGCTTTTACCTGCAGCTGCACCGTGCATGTGCCTGTGCTGGCTCCCCCATGGACTCGAGATTCCAGCTGAAATCTGGGCAATTCTCCCTGATCCTTGTGAAGAACGTGCCTGACGAGGAGCCCAGTCCATTCCGCAGGAGGGCACTGAAGTGAGCTCAGATGGAGGCAGGACAGGACCATCCTCCTCCTCGTCACCATTATTGGTGACAGCTCCACGCAGCAGGCTGGCTGGGAAGAGCCACAGCTGGGACATCACGAAAGCAACGGGGAAGATCCTGCTGCTCCCAAGGCTGCTGCTCCTTGCTAACTCCCAAGGCTGCTTTCTTTTGCAGAGGGCAGGTGAGTGTGCAGTTTTCGGTGGTGAACACGCAGTCGCCGTCTCTGCTGGGATCAATGGTCCTTTCACGGCCTGGGCTCTACTTACAGAGAGCAAACACAGTTTCCATGGCACTGGAAACACAAACACGTCCCACACTCCAGAGAGTGACTCACACGTGCTGCAGAGAACAGAGAAACTTCCCTGTCTTAATCTGAAAACATCTGCGAGAGGAGGATGAGATTATCTCACTTTCAAAATATGCTACAAATATTGTGTAAACCAGATTTGCACTGAATAATTCCATGTCTTGGCAGATCTGAAAGACAAATCCTTTGAAGGCAAAGGAATAAGGCAAGGCTGGTGCCTGTTTGCAGTAGCAATGTCCAAATCAATAATGAATATATTCTTAAAATAAATACAACCCAGCAGTTCTGGAAGCCAATACAAACTGTCCATGAGCATTTTACCTCAGTATTTCAAAGAGTCACAACGAGAATTTAAGTGTTGGAAATGGAAGAGTAGATTTATAAGAAATGGAGGAGATGGATAAATTAGTGGGAAGTATTTAGTACAAGTCCTAATCCTGGTATTGCAGGTGTTAGGCTGAAATAGTCTGTAACAGTCTGAAACGGTCTGAAATAGTCTGGAATAGTCTGAAACAGTCTGAAATAGTCTGTAACAGTCTGAAACAGTCTGAAATAGTCTGGAATAGTCTGAAACAGTCTTAAATAGTCTGAAACAGTCTGAAATAGTGACCACCTGACCTGCAGCACCAGCAGCATCACTCAGAGGTTTCTTAGAACATCACTTACCTAAAGCTGATACACTGAAATACAGATTCAGGGGAAAATGAATGCACGCAATTAAAATCAAATACATGATGTGCACTTTCTAGCAGGGACAAATGTGGTGAGCACTATCTTGGAGCAATAAAACATGCTCTTAGTGTATTTGGGAGGAAGAATTTTCCCTAGCAGGGCTTTTCTACATCCTAAAACCTCAAGGAGTTTTATGCCCCCAAGCTAGAGAGTTTATATCCCTTCAAAGGAACCTGTTATTTTAGTAATCCTCCAGCTCTGAAAGATCTCATCTGCTTCCTTTGCTAACCTAAATCCTTTCCCAGCACCTATTCTGCCTGCAGAGCATTCAGATTAAACGTCAGGATTTCCAAAGGCTGCTCTGAGCAGGAATACTGCCTTTGGCTCTTCCAGCAAGCAAAGCAAAGCCCTGTCATGGCAAAGCTGCAGATTCCTCTTGGCAGGGCTGACACGTGAAGGTCAACAACGGGAATTCAGTGCTGAGAGTCGCTGAGGTAAAGCAAGGCCTGAAGGGGGAAGATTCCCGTTTGGACTGTGACTCACAGCACAGCACCTGCACAGAGCTCAAAACACAGAGAGGAGCAGGAGCAGGTGAGATTTACTGCAGGAATGAGGGCCAGAACAAAACCCTTCATGGGATCAGTACCTGCACAGAGCTCACAACGAAGCAAAGAGCAGGAGCAGGTGAGATTTCCTAAGCTAAAACCCTTCATGGGATCGAGTGGAGGAGCTGCAGGAGCTGAAATGTGACACAGCCCCTCCGTCAGGGCCAGGACCAGCAGAGAGGGACACATCTGCCAAGGGATATTTGGCACACAGGGAGATGCTTTGGAGAGTGTCTGCACTGAATGGCTGGAGGAAAATGAAATAACGAACAGCACCTTTGTGAATGATGGGTGGAATGCCTCATTAATACACCACAGAGAACAATGCCTGTCTGCAGATCACCTCGGTGGAATTGCAACTTGCACGGAACCTCGGGAGAACAGGAGTAAGTGAGAGAAACAGAGAAGGCAGCAGCTCCTGCAATGGCTCTTGGGGCTGTTCTGTCACTCCGCACTGCCCTTCCCCTGGGAACAGTCCCTCCTCACTGCTCTTTCTTGTCTGTTCAAATCACATCAATTTAAAAGGGTTATGAAAGGCTCTGTTTAATCAAATGTTTGTTATGTCCAGGTGTCTTTGTCTGTCTCCTTTCCCAGATTTATCCAGAGACAATTATCTCATGTTGGAGACTCTTTCCCCTTGAGGACCAATGAGAATATCCACTTAGAAATTATAAAATAATTGAACAGCGGCATGGCTGTGGATCCTGTTACCTGTCCCAGCCACCTGGTGTGCACCCCCTTGGTGGCGGGGAGCTCTCCAAACTGGAACTGCTCTGTGTCCTGCAGGGCTGATGTTTGGTACTCAGATATCCACAGGAAAATATCATCATCATAAGGCATAACTGAATAGAATCTGACAGACTTCTCTCCCCATCAGGAATACAGACACGAGGAATTTCAAAGGCGTGACCAAGCCTGTGATACACCAAAGCCATTAAAATTCATTTTGGCTGTAAGAATAATGGGACAGTGTATGCACTTGTACAGTAGAAGCCACTGTGGAGATTTTCCAAATTCCCTTGCCATGAATGGAAGCTGCACATCCAGAGCCTCTGAAGCGCTGCCATAAGGGCTGATATTCATAAATTTAAAATAAGTGGCCTACAGAGGGTAGTAAGCAGGGCACATACAGATTAACACGCTTGCCCTTTGCCGAGTGAACACCACGCTGTTATGTTTGGTGTCATTTTCTGAGGGCTCAGCAACCGCGTGTCCTGTCAGCGGTGCGCTCTGCTCGGGATGGGCACGGCCCGGGCCGGCAGAGCTGAGGGCGCTCGGACAGCGCCGGCACCGGCTCGGGGCTCGGGCTCGGGGCTCGGGGCTCGGGGCTCGGGGCTCGGGCTCGGGGCTCGGGGCTCGGGGCTCGGGGCTCGGGGTGTGTGTGCGGGGCCAGCGGCGGCGATTTGGGGCGATCAGGGGCCGTTCGGTCCCGCTCGCACCGGGCCCGCTCCGGCCTCCCGCCCGCCCTGAGGCGGAGCCGCCGCCATCTCCCCGTGCCCGCCCTGAGGCGGAGCCGCCGCCATCTCCCCGTGCCCGCCCGTCCTAAGGCGGAGCTGCCGCCATCGCCCCGTGCCCGCCCTGAGGCGGAGCCGCCGCCATCGCCCCGTGCCCTCCCTCGGGCGGAGCCGCCGCCATCTCCCCGTGCCCGCCCGTCCTAAGGCGGAGCTGCCGCCATCGCCCCGTGCCCGCCCTGAGGCGGAGCCGCCGCCATCTCCCCGTGCCCGCCCTGAGGCGGAGCCGCCGCCATCTCCCCGTGCCCTCCCTCGGGCGGAGCCGCCGCCCTCGGCCCCGCCGCGCCCCCTGGCGGCGCTGCGCCGCGGCATCACGGCAGCTCTCGCGAGACTCCCGCCGCACCCGCCAAGATGGCGGCGCCCAGGGAGGCGGCGGGCCGGGCCCGCACCCGGGACGTGCTGCTGCCCGGCGGCCCCGCAGACTTCGGCTCCCTCCTGCTGTCGCCGCCGGTGCTGGCTGGGCTGGAGGCGGCCGGCTTCCATCGGCCCTCGCCCGTGCAGCTGAAGGCCATCCCGCTGGGGCGCTGCGGCCTGGGTGAGCGGGCGGGCCGGGCGCGGGGCCGGGCTGGGCCCGGGGACTGCGCTGATCCCCGGGAGATGCCCTGACCCTGGGATCTGCCCTGGCCCCCTGGGATCTGCCCTGGCCCCCTGGGATCTGCCCTGACCCCCTGGGATCTTTCCTGATCCCCTGGGATCTGCCCTGACCCTGGGATCTGCCCTGACCCCCTGGGATCTGCCCTGACTGCCACAGCCACTCTTTGCAGACCTCATCGTGCAGGCCAAGTCTGGCACCGGCAAGACCTGCGTGTTCGCCACCATCGCGCTGGAGGCGGTGCTGCTGGAGAGCCCCGCCACGCAGGTGAGGCGCCCGGGGCTCTGCGGAGGGAGCGGCTCCTTTGGGGGATGTGGCACCAGACAGTGCGGGGTTTGCAGCGCTGCGGTGCTGGGCTCAGCTCCCATCCTCCCGGTTAACCCTTGCCCCGCACAGATCCTGGTCCTGGCTCCCACCAGGGAGATTGCTGTACAGATCCACGCCGTCATCACGACCATTGGCATAAAAATGGAAGGCCTGGAATGCCACGTGTTCATTGGAGGGACTCCTCTGAGCCAGGACAGAAGCAGGCTGAAGAAGTGCCACATAGCTGTGGGCTCCCCAGGTAGGGAGTGGCTTTGCCGTGGTTTGGGTCCCTGTGCCCTGCACAGGTCACTAACTGGCTGTGGGGATGTTGGCTTGGCGGTGTGGGTTGTCACTAACAGGGCACAGCCTCAAGGCAGCTCAGGAGCACTTTAAGAGGTCACCCTGAGGGTGTTTGGGGCCCGTTTCTGGAGCTGTTTCCCTCCTGCAGGGCGGATCAAGCAGCTGATCGAGCTGGAGTACCTGAGCACGGCCAGCGTGCGGCTGCTGGTGCTGGACGAGGCGGACAAGCTGCTGGAGGAGGGCAGCTTCCAGGAGCAGATCAAGTAAGGCACAGCTCCCTCCCAGGCTGCGTGGGCAGTCGGGTGCCCTGTGAGTGACTGCCTGCTCCTTCCCTCAGCTGGATCTACTCCTCCCTGCCGCTCAATAAGCAGATGCTGGCGGTCTCGGCCACCTACCCCGAGTCCTTGGCTGCTGCTCTCACCAGGTACATGAGGGAGCCCACCTTCGTCAGGCTGAACCCCACGGACCCCAGCCTTCTTGGTGAGCACAGAAAGGCACTCACAGGGGCATGGCTGGCAGCAGATGACGAGGAGGGCACGAAAGCCAAAATGCCTGCCTTTAGAATGCATGATTTTTCCTAATTGCACCCCTGGGTTGTTCAGTTTATGAATGTTGATCCCCAGTGTTGATGTAGTGAACCTTGAAGTGGAATGAGAAGGTCTTTAAAGGCCTTTCCAACCCAAACCAGTCTGTGACTCTGTTTAAAATACCAGTGACAAATGGAGATCTCTGCTTTTTCTATCTATTCAAAAAATTCCAGCCTTTTAAGAAAAACTTCTCCTGGAGGTTCTGATGTGTGTCTGTTTGCAGTTTCCCTTCAGCTGCAGTACCACATGTTTACAGAACTCTGTGCATGTTTTTATGGCAGCCCCTAATCTGTTGTTTTGCTTTCCTGCTCAGGGCTCAAGCAGTACTACAAAATCGTGAATTCCCATCCCCTCCCACATAAAACCTTTGAGGAAAAAACCCAGCACCTGCAGGAGCTGTTCAGCAAGATTCCTTTCAACCAAGCCTTAGTCTTCTCAAATCTGCACAGCAGGTAATACATTGGATAACACCTGGACAAAGCTTGTAATGCCCAGGCTCGGAGAAATTCATGGGACCTGTGAGGCCTCAGGCTGCAAACTTCAGCTCTGAAATACAGCATGCAGTATGGAATACTGAAAATATCACAATGCAGTCCTTGGCTGTAGAGAATAACCCAAGAACTGGCCTGGGGTTTTATTTCCAGTTTTCAGTGTGTGTGTTCCCTCAGGGCTCAACATCTGGCTGAAATACTGACATCCAGAGGCTTCCCTGCTGAGTGCATTTCAGGTAAATCCATTCACAATTTTCTGATTCCACTGAAATTGTGCATAAATGTGACCTAAACTAGGAAAATATATCTTAAATCTTGCCTTGCAGGGCCTCTGGTTAAATGGCTGAGAATAGCATTTGAATTGTCATAGGTCTTTTAAGATTCAATCTACAAGGAAAAGAATTCTTTTTGCAATGAGTGACCTGAGTTTTCCAGTTCTGTTTGTTCCTTCTTTACTCATTTGGGGCTGATGTTTGAGGAAGTTTCTAACTTATTCTGATGATACAGAGCAGCATTTTCTAGAATGTGAGAGACATAAAGATTAAGAATGTAACCTGCTTCTAATTTTTATCTTCCTAGGCAACATGAATCAAAATCAACGACTTGATGCCATGGCTAAATTAAAGCAATTCCACTGCAGAGTTCTGATTTCCACAGACTTGGTGAGATTTACTGCTTTCAAACAAGCTTTTTACGGATTCTATTTCAAATTTTACAGCATGCAGGAGTACTGCACATAAAATTACTTCAGAGGATTAGATTTGGCTTGGAATTGGAGAGGACATAAATGTGCTGGTGAAGCACCGGGGGCTGGGAGTTATTTTCACAGTGGGGCTTAGAAATCACCCCCATGCCTGATCTGCCTGCCCATGGCAGGGCTGGAACGGGGTGATGCTTTTAGGGCCCGTCCCACCCAGGCTGTTCTGTGATCTGGCTCAGGAACAGCTGTCATTTATCTGCTGCTCTGCAGGCAGAACTGCTCTGTGGGCAGTGTGCTGTGAGAGCCAGACACGGCAGGGTGACCCTGACACCCTGGGTGACCCCTGTGGTCCCTCCAGCCTCCCCGGGCTTCTGGATTTATTCCAGGCTCAGTGCAGTTACTCCACTCTCAGTGCCCTTTTCTCCTCCTCCCTCCCTGCAGACATCTCGTGGCATTGATGCTGAGAAGGTGAACCTGGTCATCAACCTGGACGTGCCGCTGGACTGGGAGACCTACCTGCACCGCATCGGCCGCGCCGGGCGCTTCGGTGGGCTGGGATCTGCTGGGTCAGGGATCTGCTGGGCTGAGCTCTGCTGGGCTGGGCTCTGCTGGGCCAGGCTTTGCTGGGCTGGGCTCTGCTGGGCTGGGCTCTGCTGGGCCGGGCTCTGCTGGGCTGGGCTCTGCTGGGCCAGGCTTTGCTGGGCTGGGCTGGGCTGGGCTGGGCTGGGCTCTGCTGGGCTGGGCTGGGCTCTGCTGGGCCGGGCTCTGCTGGGCTGGGCTGGGCTCTGCTGGGCTGGGCTGGGCTCTGCTGGGCTGGGCTCTGCTGGGCTGGGCTCTGCTGGGCCGGGCTCTGCTGGGCCTGGCTCTGTTGGGCCTGGGCTCTGTTGGGCCTGGGCTCTGCTGGGCTGGGATCTGCTGGGCTGGGCTCTGCTGGGCTGAGATCTGCTGGGCTGAGATCTGCTAGTCTGAGCCCTGCTCGTCTCAGCTCTGCTGGGCTGGGATCTGCTAGTCTGAGCCCTGCTAGTCTGAGCCCTGCTAGTCTCAGCTCTGCTGGGCCTGCGTTAACTCTGCTCTGCCCACAGGCACCTTGGGGCTGTCTGTGACCTACTGCTGCCGTGGGGAGGAGGAGAACACCATGATGAAAATTGCTCAGAAGTGCAACCTGCAGCTTCTTCCCCTGCCAGGTGGGCCATGTGCTGGGGCTGCAGCTGGGCCTGCTGGTCTCCTGTCAGAGCTTCAGACAAGCCCAGGGCTGGTGTGGTCTCCCTGCTGGGGCTGCTTTGCTTCTGCCCACATTGCTCACTCTCAGCTCCTGACAAGCAGTGCAGTGCTGTGTGTCTGGAGCAGCCTTTGGTCCCTTGTGTGAAGGAAATGTTCTGTCTCTTTGAGCTCTTCTGGGAATTGAAGGGGTTGGTTTGGGGCCCTCACTTGGTGTCTGAGATGCAATTTTGAGAAGAAGGAGGGAAGGAGGCCCTTGACTGAGTAGCTGCTGTTTCTCCTCTGTGCAGAGCCAATCCCTCCTGGAATGATGGAGCAGTTTGAAGATGGGCAGGTGGAAGTTAAACCTGCAATACCCACGGCTCCTGTGCTGAACTGTGACACTGTGTGTCCTAAACCAGAGCAACCAGTGCTGCAGCCTGTCCAGAATGGCTTTCCAAACACACCTCAGCCTCCCTCTCACCTTCCAAGGGGTAATTCTTCTGTAGAAAGGCCAAAAAAGACTCCGAAGCAAAAACAGAATAAAAAGTGCACAAATCCTGCAAAGGTAGAGAGAAATAGTGCCCCCCAAACTTCCAGCTGTCGCACAGAGCAGAGGAATCAAGTCAAACCCATCTCCAGGATGGATGGACAGCACAGCACTCAGGCTCCATATGAGGAGGCCTTAAAGAAAAATCTTCCCAAAATTCCATGTTTGTCTTCTTTCAAAAACCATCTCGCCAGTCCCTGGAGCTTCTCAGATTTTGTTGAAGATTATGACTATTTCATTAAAGAAGGGTCAGAGAGAGAGGTGGAGATCCTCAGAAGTTACTCAGGCCCAGGAGAGCAGCGTGGGCTGCCCAGAAATGGGGATGTGGAGTGGGAGGAGATGGAACATCACCCAGAGGCAGCAGCAGACGGGGCAGTGTCTGCTGACAGCGATGGCTCAGAGAGCTCCAGGGATTCCTGCAGCACCAGGGCCAGTCTCTCCTGCCCTGGGGCCTTGTCAGACACGCAGGAGCCCCGTGCAGGTCCCTGTCCCACCCCTGAGCAGCCTCGGGAGCCACCCCACGGCCCGAGGCAAAATGGAGTGAAAAAGAAAGTGCCCAAACAAAGTGCTAAACACAAGAAAAGCCACGAGCATCAGTTCTCCAGACCCGCCAGGAGCAGAACTGAGGAGGAGCAGAGCTGCAGCTCCTGGGATGATGCTGCACACGAGGGCTGGAGTTCTGAGGAGTACTGGAAATGTTACTACAACGCCTGGCAGAGCTACTACTCAGCCCTGTCTCACTACAGCAGGAGCTACTGGCAGTTCAGCTGCATCAGTGCCTACCACATCAACTCAGTCTATCTCCAGGAGCTGCTCAGGGATGAGGATTGATGTCCTGGGACCAGGGCTGGCCTGGCCCGTGGCAGCAGTGCTGCTCTAAAGGACACTGACAAGAGACAGATGGAGAAAAATGGTGTCTTTTTATAAGCAGCTGTGTCTGGTAAATGTTTTACACAGGTCCAGTGACGCTGTTACAATTTGTTAATAAAAGGAAAAGAAAGACAGCTGGATTTCAGTTGGAATCTTTGCAATTCAAAGTGAAAAATGGATGATAAAAGGCAGCCATTCCCACATTAAAAAAAGGGCTATTTGATGAAATCCCAGAGAGGTTTGGGTGGAGGGGACCCTAAAGTTCACCTTGCTCTGCCCCCAGGCGTGGCAGGGACCCCTTCCCCTGTCCAGGTGCTCCAGCCCCAGTGCCCAGCCTGGCCCTGGGCACTCCAGGGATCCAGGGCAGCTCATCAGCTCTGGGCACTGTGCCAGGGCTGCCCTCCCTCTTGCCTCCGTGCCTTCCCTGGGGCTGTTGGTGAAGCTGAATTCCCTGTGAGGCTCCATGGTCTGTTCAAAGCTGGTGGTGATCCCACTTTCCCTAATTCTCCTGGTAAACACCAGGCACTGATTATATCCAGTGGAGTGGCAGAGTGAAACGAGCATCTCAATGCCCATATTGCTAAATTAAATCCAGTTAATTAACACTGTATAAATATTTCTATAGCAAGGTGTGCAGCAGGCTGTGTGGTGGAGGATTTAATTATGTAGAAAATGTGGAGCAGTCGTAATTGGTCTGTCCCTCTGGGTGCAACAGTATCAGACTTCCCACACTTTCAGGAATATTTAATTAGCAATGGAATTACCTATTACTGCTAAAACTAATTGATATTTCCTGTTTGGCTTGTACAGAGCTGTCCTGGGGCAGGAAAAGAGGGAGTGCTGGCTGGCTTGGGGCGCTGACCCTGGGTTGCCTCTGCACTAATTTTGGAAGTTGTTCTTTCTGTGCTTTGTTCCTGCCGTACTCCCTTTGTGTCAGAAATGACTCCAGGGATGGGGTTCCCCTCTGTCTGTGCAGCTGGAAAAGGCCAAGGGAGCATGATTTGGTTTCCAAGATTAATTTTTGCGACTTACAACATTCACAGAGAGGGCCCTGTAAGAGATGCACTTCAGTATCTGCATTGCTGCTGTCCTGTGACATCTCACTGATTTCATTAATGACTGCTCAGGGAAGAGTTAATTAGTGTTTAAATGCAACTCCGGTGGCCTCGGTCAACACCCAAAGTCTCCAAAAGGACCTCCCGGGAGGTTTTGGGAAGGAATGACAGCATCCTGTGGGTGTTTGTGGCACATACTCTGTTTAATCCAGATTGGATACATCAGGTACAGCAGTGGCACGAGACTCAATACTGTAAATGATATACAAGTTTCAACATATGCACTACAATTCCAAAAGAAGACAACAGGAAACTTGTTCTTCTAGAAAGTTGTTCTCAAATGAAGCTACCTGCAGTTGTGTCCAGTACATTTCCAATCTGTCCTCTGACATTTGTAAAGCAAAGCCCATTTAAAGTACGAAAATAGAAAATAATAAGGTTGAGAGCTTCGTACAACATAGAACTCCTAAAGAAAACACCATTGCATTGGAATGCCGTACTGTTTATCAAAAATAGACCATCACACCCTTTTTGGAGACTTGGTTGGTCCAGGGAGCCCCTGGGAGCTCCCAGGGGTGGCTGAAGGGTGTGGTGGGACCTTCCCCAGCCGAGGCTCTGGGGCAGCACTGGTTTAACCAGGGAGGGGAGGGACACACGGACACACAGAGGAACAGACGGGGAACAGGAGGAGGGACTGCCACAGGCTCTGTGTCCCCTGCTCTTTGCTCCACCTGAGCTCCTGGCGCGGGCTCTGCTCCCCGAGCAGGGGCAGCAGTTCTGGCCCTCTCCAGAATTCCCTGGGGCGTTTTGGGGTGTCACCAGCTGAGCTCCACTGGTGCAGGAGGAGGTGCTGCTGCCCCAGGGGCTGCCAGAGAGCTGCAGTGACTTCCCCGAGGTCACCTGCCGATTGCTCAGGAGATCAGGAGCAGAGCCCAGGCTGCTGTGCTCGGCTCCTGATGTTCACTGCCTTCCCTCACTGACACTTTTCGAAAGAGAAAATCACCATGGACAGCGGTTTTGGCAAAGACAAAGCCTAAAACTCGGGCTCTAAACCCATGGACCTACTGCAGTTGGCTCCAAGTGCTGGAGCAGGATAAGCGCTCTAAAACAAAATATTGAGATAGACTGGATGGGGGAGTGATGTGGAAAAGGTGTTTTATTCACCTAACTTTAACAGCAGAATTAAATTTGTGGCTCAAAGCTGATGTTCACCAGCTCTGCACGAGTGCTGACTTTAACTCTGCCTTAGTCCAACAGATTAAAATATTACAAAGTCCAAGGGATGTTACAACACATAAATTAAATGTGATGTTTAATTTCCTGAATTTTCTTTACAATACATGTAAGATGCAACATGTTTGCAACCTCTTTACTTAAAAAAGCAAACTCTTGAAGGAAATTTGCATTCCTTAGCTGGTGTTAATCTGATTTTCATGCACACACCTTAAGCTGTTCTAGACTAGAATGACGAGTGCTGGGTTACAGGACAGGTGTATTAGCAACAGCTTTAGGTTAAGCAAGTGGCATTGATTTAATCTGGTCTTTCTGGCCAATTAAAGAAAGATGTATTTTGAATTATCCATGAGGTTTATTCTGCACTAATGCCATGTGTGTTACTTAGGTTGTCTTTTTAAGGAAACTGAAAGCAAAAGGTGGCTTTAGAAAGTAGATGGAAGTCAAAGCCTATGTGTGAAAGAATCATTTGCTGCCAGCTGGGTGTGAATCCTGTTAGCAGCTCAATGCCAGCTGAGAAGAGAGGAAATCTATTGATAGAATAGGCTGAAAAACGGTGAAAATATTTTTCCTTCAGAAAAAGCTTTGGAAAGGAAAAAAAAATGCTCAGAAAAAGGAGTTGCTCCTTTGATATTTTTATATTGCTTTAGGAAAATCTGAAAAAAATAATGCCCTTCCACTTGCTTTTTGTACAAAGAATCCATTTTTACCTCTTTTAAAGGAGCTTCTCTAAAACTATAAAAAGTCAGAAGGAATGAGAGGAGGGGGAAGGCTGAGCTGAGGTGCCAGCACAGCACTGCTGTTCTGCAGGCTCAGGGGGCTGTTCCAGTCCTGCCCCTGCTCCGGGGGCTGCTCTGGGCTGCTCCAGCTGCACCTCTGCAGGAGCAGCACCAGGAGCAGCCCCTGCCCTGGCGGGGTCAGGCTCGGGGTGCCCAGGAGGGCTTGGGGTGCCGGAGGCAGGGCAGCACTGGGAGCACTGGGAGCACTGGGGACGAGCCTCTCCTTCAGGTGAAGTTCTGCCTTGGGAATTCTCAGGGGTGGCTTGGCCTGTTCTCGGTGCTGTTTAAGGATGCTAAATTTGGGGAAGCCCTCCTGCCCCCTTGGGTCAGGATCGAGGGGCTGTAGGGCAGCTCCTTGCTCTGCTGGCTGCACACCCTACCCTGCCCCATTTCCAGCCCTGGGATCCACCCCTGCAGGGATGGGTCACTGTCCTGTCCCTGTGGGGACGGATCCTTGTCCTGTCCCTCCAGGGATGGATCCCTGTCCCTGTGAGGATGGATCCCTGTCCTTCCAGGGGTGGATCCCTGTCCTGTCCCTGCAGGGATGGATCCCTGTCCCTGCAGGGATGGATCCCTGTCCTATCCCTGCAGGGATAGATCCTTGTCCTGTCCCTGTGAGGATGGATCCCTGTCCCTGTGGGGATGGATCCCTGTCCTGTCCCTCCAGGGATGGATCCCTGTCCCTGCAGCTCCTGGGGGTGCACAGTGCTCTCCTGAGGAAATCCCAGGCTTTCCACCACGCAGTTCCAGGTGCTTTTGGAAACTTTACTTGGGCGGCTTCAGAGGATAAGGGGAGCTAATGGCTCCATTAAAAATACTTTTAGCCCTGTTCCTCCAGGCTCAGACCTCCCTGGTTCTGTGTGTTTTCAGCCCCTGAGAGCCTGTGCTGAGGAGCTGGCAGCCTGGGGCAGCACCTGCCCCACTCACGGCAGAGACACGAGCCCTGGCTCCCAGCCAGGATCACCATTCCCGGTTTGTGGAAGAAAACAGAGCCCAAGCAGCCAGCCAGAAACTCCTGGAACTGGTTCTCCTCATTCTTTTTAACCTCTCAAACTGGAATGCTACACTCCCCTTTCCAAAGGTTTGGTTGGCAGCGATGAAAAGCCCTGGTAGGGGTTTGGATGAGGCTGCGGGGTGGCTATTTACAGGTGCAGAGATGGGAAGTGCCTGGGTCAGCACTCCACCCTAAATCAGGAATCGGGCAGCACCAAGAATCCATCTGACTGTAATTTTTAGTCCTGTCCCCATCAGCACAGGGACATTCACCCTCACTCTGTGCCAGTGGAGATGAGGTTGCAAAGGTGGCGAGTGGTGCAGGGCAAGGCCTCTGATCTAGAAGGGCAGGGGTGCTCAGATGATGACAGTTAATGAAAATAAAGCAAAAATTAAATTAAAACATTGAAAAAAGCCTCAGTAATGGTAAGATTAACTGCAGTATAACGTCCTACAGGAAGCAGCAAAAGGCAGAGCATTTTAATCTTCTAAACCAGGACTAAACATAGTATTGGGTAACATATTACAGCACTGGAATAAATGACTGGAAGCTGGTGCAGCTGCTGGAGGCTCAGCCATAGCCCTGGGGTTCCTAGGATGTTGTAGGATTCTAAGGAGGGTTCTGAGTTAATGCATCAGCCATCGCTCACAGCAGGAGTGCTGCCAAAGCAGGGTGCAGCTCTATGTGTAATCAGCAGTAATTATCTATACATGTATGTGTCTGTAATTACTTATATGTGTGTGTATATGTGCAGATAAATATTACATCGGGAGAGGTTATGACAGATGTTAAAAACCACCATCCCTTTGCTGAGCAGCCTGAAGCACTCCTGGAGCTGTTCCTGTACCTCTGAGGGGGCACAGTCCCTGCTCAGGACAGGATTGGGATCTCCCCGTCCCCCCGGGCTCTGGGGCCGTGCAGGGGCCTTGGGGAGTCTGGGCATGACCAGGGGCCAGCCAGGTGGGGCAGGGGAGGGGGTGTTCCCCTCTGCCCCCCGGGATCCCTGCAGAAGGGACTCCAGGAAGGCAGAGCAGGCAGGAGCTCCTCTGGGCAGGGGATGGGCTGTGGTTCAGGCCATGAATTTCTCTGAGGAATCCTTCCTGGGAAGGGCTCGGTGCCAGGATGAGGTTCCTGGCAGTACCACACAGTGTTCTCCCGTTTTTGGTTAGCTGTTAGTTCATGCTTAGACTTCTCCCAAACTAAGTGTAGAACTGTGGATAGAAATGCTGTCTGTACCAACACATGAGCCAATGTTTTCCAGCTCCAGTCCTGCTCCCCTCCTCAGGCAGATCCTGTGCTGGGTGGAGAACTGGAACTGCTGACTTGTCTATCCCCAAAATCAACGCAGCCCAGGAGCCATGGACGGGACAAGTGGAGCCCTAAGACTCTGCAAAAGCCAAATACCTCTCTGTCCATGCAAAGTATTCGGCTCTGGGATTAATTATTATCAAGTATAAATCCAGACATTATTTGGCTACTATTTACAACGGGTTACACGTCCAGTGCTAGCAAAGGAATTTCTCTGTAGGAACCAAAAGTTAAAAGCATGGGCATACATTACCAGGAACCCCTGTTAGACTCAGGAACGCTTGAAGCTGAGTTCAGTGCTTTCGTTCTTTGCCTCTTGTGTGCACAGTATTAAAAAAGAATTCTACCTTTTTTTTCCTTTTTAAAAATACAGAACTGTAGTCTAGTCACACTCTTACAAGTAAGTGATAACAAAAATAGAAAGCAGATACCCAGGTGGGACTAAAACTCTACTAAAGCCTGTCTTTTTTTGTTGTTGTTGTTTTTGTTTTTCTCCACAAATATGTTTCCACAGACAATAATTAGCAGACAAACACGCTGTTTGCAATTGCACTGTATTGACTTGAAAGGCGGGTACAAAATAGTCTAAAGTGGGGATGGCATCCAGGGAGGGAGGTGTGTGTGGGGTGGGTGTGCCCGGGGCTGGCACACCTGGCAGGGCCGTGCCCTGGGGTGGCTCTGCACACTCACACTCACACACACAGCGCTGCAGGGGACTGCTGTGACAGGTGGCTTCTTTTGTCTAAATCTTTTCCTATAAAAGAAAAAAAAAAAAAAAAAAAAAAAAAAGTGAAATTTTGGTTGGTTTTAAGGTTCTGCTCCATGAAGAAGAAGAAGAAGAAAAAAAAATTGAAAAAAACTATTGTTTTTCACCTTTTCAGTCATTTCCTCATGAATAAATATTATCCATTAAAAACCTTTAAAAAGGTGCTGCGATACACAGTGTTATATTTCCGTTTGCTCCGTGACTCGCTCCGGTGGCGCTGCTCCCTCAGCCGTGCGGCACGGTTCGTCCCGGGGGCGGCACGGTTCGTCCCGGGGCACGGTTCGTCCCGGGGCACGGCTGGTCCCGGTGCACAGCGGGTCCCGGGGCACGGCTGGTCCCGGGGGGCGGCACGGTTCGTCCCGGGGCACGGCTGGTCCGGGGGCACGGCTGGTCCCGGGGCACGGTTCGTCCCGGGGCACGGTTCGTCCCGGGGGCACGGCCCCGGCCCCGGTACCGGCACGGCGGCGTTCTGGTCCCGCAGTTCCTCCCCGGTACCGGCACGGCGGAGTCCTCCCGGTTCCCCCTGTGCCCTTCCGCCGGTACCGGCACGGCGGCGTTCTGGTCCTGCAGCCGTTTCCCCGGTGCCGTTCCCCGGTACCGGCACGGCGGCGTTCTCCCGGTCCCCCGGTGCCCGCAGCCCGGTCCTGGCACGGCGGCGTTGTTCCGGTTGCCCCGGTGCCGGTGCCGGTGCCGGTCCCGCAGCTCAGTGCCGGTGCCGGTGCCGGTGCCAGTGCCGGTGCCGGTGCCGGTGCCGGTGCCGGTGCCGGTGCCGGTCCCACAGCCCTGTGCCGGTGCCGGTCCCGCTGCCGCAGCCGGTCCCGCTCCCGCTGCCGGTGCCGGTGCCGGTCCCGCAGCCCGGTGCCCGCAGCCCAGTGCCCGCAGCCCGGTGCCGGTGCCGGTCCCGCAGCTCGGTGCCCGCAGCCGGTGCCGGTCCCGCCGCCGCAGCCCGGTGCCGGTCCCGCAGCCGGTCCCGCCGCCGCAGCCCTGTGCCGGTGCCGGTGCCGGTCCCGCAGCCGGTCCCGGTGCCGGTGCCGCCGCAGCCCGGTGCCGCCGGGCCGGTCACAAGGCCGAGACCTTGACGACGCTGGCGGCGGCGCCGGGAGCGTTCGTGGCGGGGCTGCCCGGGCCGGGCCGGCTCTCGGCCTCGGGGGTCAGCGCCGGCGGCGTGGGGATGCTGATGATGGCCGTGGTGATCTGCGCGCCTTTGCAGTTCGGCCTCAGCCCGTCGTCCGCCTTCATGTTGAGGCTGGAACGACTGGAAAACAAATTTAGCGCTCGGCTCGGTTCTGAAAGGCGGGCGGAGGAAGGAGGGGGCGGCTGTGCCTCTTAACCAGGATCTTACTCAGCTGAAATAGTCAAAGACTCCATTTAAACATCCTCCCTGCTCCTGCCAGGCACCGTTCATGTCTACACAGATTACACCAAGCTTTGGTAATGTTCCCCCTGGTTAGGAGACAGCTTTTCACGGGGCAAATTGTCCTGTTTCCATTTCCTTCTTGCATAATTCCAGTTTATTTAAAAGGACATCTAAATACACTGGCCCGTGTAGTGCATCTTTTCAGAGCACAGGTAGTTCTTTCTGAGAAAGATGCTGTCTTTCTTGCATTTCAAATACCTCTTTCGTATTCACCGTCCCTTGATATTTTCTATTTTATTTCTCTCTGCAGTAGTTTGAAGGATGTGACAGCTGGGAGCATTCTTATTAGATCTGCATAAATTGCATCCTATAATTAATTACAGGGGGAAAATGATAGGTTGATTTCTGTGCATCTGCACAGCTACAGGAGTCTGCTATTAGCAGCCCAACGCTTTCATTTTCCACACAAGGCCTGCCCTTTCAGCGAGGAAAGCTCCCAGCTGGGAATCTGCTGCTGCCGCTGTCTGGGAGTGGCTCACCCGGGGATGGTTTCTGATCCCTCCGACATCCAGGAACGGTTCCACTCCTGCCTCGGCCTCAAGCTGCTTGCTTTGCACATAAAGAATAACTGAAAAGCCTTTTTTCTCTTTCCATCCTTGCCCAGTTTGGTAAGCAAGTGAAATAAGTGTTGACATTTAAAATATCACCGGCATCTGATTTAGCACCCAGAACAGTTGACATTCCCCTGAATTACTGCTTCAGGTGCTGGTTTAAAATATTGTCATATTGAAACCGAAATAGCTGGAGACTTGTTTTCTGCTTATTCGTTCATAATTCATGCTCTGAAATGCCCTTGTGGCACCAAGTAATCACTTGCTGCCCTGAAGGCGGCTGTGTTTTGGTTTCTACATCCCTTTGATAGGAGTGGGGAGAAGAGGAATGGGACATTCAAAACCAGCCCTGGTGCACAAAAAAACTTAATGGGCTGAGGGGGATTTAGAAAATCATTTAATATTTCCAGGAATTATATGGTGAATAAATGATTCTTTTTTTGGCAATTTATGTATAAAGTGAAATTTTAAACATTTTCTATTAAGGGACACTTTACCTGTGTTCTTTAAGACACGACTGTGAAACTCCTCTTATTTGCTTCCCAGTGATGCTTAGAGTGGCAATTTAGACTTTTGGGTAATGAAAATCAGTGGAGTGTCCCATGGAGACCACGTCAGCCCCTCCCTGAGCACAGCTGGGCACAGCTGGGCACAGCCCTGCCAGCCCTGCAGCTGGGCACAGCTGGACACAGCCCTGCCAGCCCCTCCTTGAGCACAGCTGGGCACAGCTGGACACCATGCCAACAGCCCCACATTTGGCACAGCCCTGCCCGCCCTGCCAGCCCCACATTTGGCACAGCCCTTCCAGCCCTTCCAGCCCTTCCAGCCCTGCCAGCCCCACATCTGGCACACCCTGCTGCCCTGCCAGCCCCACATCTGGCACACCCTTCCAGCCTGCCAGCCCCACATCTGGCACACCCTGCTGCCCTGCCAGCCCCACATCTGGCACACCCTGCCCGCCCTGCCCGCCCTGCCCGCCCTCCCTGGCACCCGCAGGCCCGTGCCCCACAGACCTGGCGCTGAGCGAGGGCTGCTCGCTGCACTGGATGTGGATGGTGCTGAGCTCCTGCATGCTCCGCAGCCGCGTGGCGGGCACGCTGGAGTTGGGCAGGTGCGTGCTCTTCTTGTGGCGCCGCGAGCAGCACGAGGTGCCCAGGCCGCGGGCGCTGGCCAGCGAGGGGCTCCGGGACGAGGGGTAGTTCTGCATGGAGCCCTCCAGGCAGTTCTGCTCGAACAGCTGCTCGTCGATGAACTCGTGGTTCTGGGGGAGAAGCGGAGCTGTCACTGCGGGCACGGGCGGGTGGGAGATGCTCCCTGCCCCACGCTGCCAGGGGCTGCCCAGGCACGGCCCAAGGACGGGACCCTGTCCCACACTGCCAGGGCTGCCCGGGCACGGCCCAAGGATGGGACCCTGTCCCTCTGGCATGGCCCAAGGACGGGACCCTGCCCTCCTGCAGCGGGGCAGGCTTTGCCCCCCGGCTCAGCAGGGACCCAGGAGGAGCTGCTGCAGTGAGAAAAGGGCGAGGCTGGCACTGCTGCCCTGCTCACACAGCCCAGACGGGCCCTCTGCATCCACAGGCTGTGAATTTCTGCTCATCTTTTGTCTGGATTCCAGAACGGCCTCAAAAATCTGGAATGCCACATGGTTATGAAACCCAAAGGGAGCTCACGCTCCTTTTCTTTATGCCTGGGAGCAGGATTGTATTTTATTTGGGTGATCACCTGGGCATAGAACTTAATGCTTGCATTGGCTGTTGGGTTCAAAGCATCCCTGCGGGGCTTGAGCTGGGAGGAATAAACACAGCAGTGAAGAGGGGGAAGTGTTCGGGGAGAAGGAAATTCAGAAAGCTGAATCTGTAAAGAGCGTTTGTGGTAAGGAACAAGAAATCCTGAAAGAAAGAGCTCATCTGTGTGGCTAAGAGCACTCAGGTAGAGTGAACAGACCTCATCCAGTCCCTGTTGGCTTCAGAAAAGATGGGAAACAAAGGCAACCATGCTGAGGCAGCCACAGATCCCACTGGGACAAGTAACAATTCCCACAGGGAACAGGAACACTGCAAAGCAGAGGGAGCCACGTGCACAAACTCCCCAGCACAGGAGCAGCAGGAGAGGTAAGCACACACTGTCCAGACACGTCACAGAGACCACAGAGAAAACATTGAATTGAAAAGGAAATACCTTGATGGTGGAAGTTCGTACAGATAACAGGGGATCATCCACAAGATAGGACAATCCCTACGGACAACATGCCAACAGAAGATAAAAACACAATTCATTGTCCATTCCAGCATCCAGTTTAGTCCCAGCACTGCATCTCTCGCCTCAGCATTCCAGCTCCAGTTTGAATGGGCAACAGAACCTTCCTTCTCTCAGGCCCCTCAACCAGAACCCTTCTGACAATTCAGCTTTTGGGTGTTCTGTTCATGGAAGCAGAACAAAACCCAGAACAACATTATTGCTTTATAGCTGGAAGTGTGTGCCACTGACAGCCCAGAGACCAGGCCAATAAATAATGCACTCTGAGAATCCCCTGCCTGCTTTCAGGGAGGGTGAATTGCCCATTGAAACAAGCTTACAACCATGGTACATTCCTCATTCCATTCCTGCAACTTGCTCACAAAATGACTCTTCAGTGTTTAAAAATGCTTTCACTGCGATTTACATTTCCTGTTGCACGGTGTTTTAATAGATTCCGTGAAGTACGGGATCTCCACACAAGCCCATTGCACTCTCTGGCCTGGTAATTCCAGAGCAGAATCCAAACCTGCTGTCTGATTTGGTGCTACACCATGGCAATAACTGGCTGAAAAAAACACGAGGGGAAACCCCTTAGTGCAGATTCTCCTTCTGAGTTTTGACCACAATTTAAGTATCACTGTTACTGCCATTGTTTGCTGAAAAAGAGGAACATTTGGAACATTTTCAGTCCCTGGCACTGATTGTCTGAGCAGGTTTGTGAGCTGGAAGTGGTCAGCCTTTGTCAGTGTGATGGCCAGGTTACCACAGCCCAAATTAGGGCACCAGAGCCCAGATTAGGGTACCAGAGCCCAGATTAGGGCACCACAGCCCAGATTAGGGCACACTTTGGTTACTTTGGCTCCTGAGTGATGGAGCAGCCCGTGCAGCCCCGGAGATGCTGAGCTGCCCCTGCAGGGGCCAGGATTTCTGTGAGCCCTTCCAGGAGGACAGAGGCTGCAGGCAGGGCTCTCAGCTTTTGTCTGAAAAGTGCCTGGGTGAAATACGGGTGACAGCACCCAAGGTTTCAGGCAGAAGGTTTTAAACTGAAGAGTCAGGTTGTGAAATATCTGCTGGTAATGTAACACTGAAATAAAGGCAGGATGAGTTGTGTAAAACAAATCCAGTAGCCGTTGATACAGGAAGAATCAGTTCCCTGCCCTCGGCACCCTTAGAGCTCCTTGGGCTCAGGTCACTGTAATTAATTCTCAGCTTCTTCCAGTGTATCTCTGAGGCCTACGTGGTGCTACTCCAGCACAAGCCAAACTATGGAAGTGAAGGTGATTTGTCTAAAAGAAACCCTTGCAAGTCAGAAATCAAAAGTACATTTGATGATGGATGCAGATAGAAAAAGGCATGAATATTTCAAGTGTTAACCTCTCTTCATTCTCCCTAGAACGAATCATGCTACAGATAATGTGTTCCTTTACTGCAGAACCTTTTATAAAAACCTGGAAGCAAAACACACGTATCAAATAAATATCTGAAACGTTCCCAAAGACTTCTGCATACACAATCGGTCACCAATGCAAAATAAAACTCTCGCTCCCAACACTTGCAGGATGCAAACAGAAAAGTCATGCTGCACAAACTGGCTTTGAGATAAATCACCTGCCCTTGCAACCAGGAAAGGTGTGTGCAAGCTCTGAGCCCTGGAACAGAGCTCATCCTCTCTGAGCCACCCCCGGGGCTGAGGGTTGTTTTTCCCAGCCCGTGGGCACTGGTGCCAGGCTGTGCTGGGAGTGCCCACAGCATCTTCCTCCCGAGGCAGCAGAGCTGTGCCTTGGTGCTGCTCAGCCCCAGGGACGGGGCGTGATGTGTGCCTGCAGGGAAACGCACTTTGGGCCTTTCAGGAGCACCGAAGAGATGAAACGTCTTATTCTGAGATCTCCCCACCCTCGCAGACACGCAGGGGTGTTCAGAGGAGCTGGACACTGCTGCTGGCTCCGTGCAGGTGGGGGCTGAGGGCAGCAGGTAACCCCACCTTTGTCCCTCTGCGCAGAGTGACTGCCAGCATTGCACAGACACGGGAGCAGAAATGCATTTAACCTGCTGCTGCAGAGTGTTCTGGGGAGCCCAGGTGGGAGTGTGCGAGTGCCAGGTGTGGGTGTGAGTGCCAGGTGTGGGTGTGAGTGTGTGTGTGTGTGTGTGTGTGAGTGTCAGCTGTGTGTGTATATGAGTGCCAGGTGTGTATATGAATGCCAGCCCTGTGTGTGTCAGTGCCAGGTGTGTGTGTGTGAGTGCCAGGTGTGTATGTGAGTGCCAGCCCTGTGTGTGTGAGTGCCAGGTGTGTGTGTGTCAGTGCCAGCCCTGGGGGCTCATGCCGGGGTCCCCTCTGAGCCCCCCGTGTGAATTCCGTCCCCGGGAGCCCCGGGCACTGCTGGTACTCACCGTGGTTTTCTCCAGGCAGTGCAGCAGATGGTGGTGTTGGCTCTCGATTAAGGAGGTGCCTTTAGTCATGTGCTGCTCCTCTTCGGTGGATCCCTGCACGCCACAGAGAGAGGAGGGAACAAAACCCAGACAGTGTAAAGCAGAATGAGCAGAACCAGCAGGAGCTGCCACAGGGGAAGGAGAACCATGCTGCCAGGCGTTTCTCCTGCCCTCAGGAAGTTTCCTCAGCTGTTCCCTGAATGATTTCGCTTGTCCAGCCAGGGGGCTCAGATCTGCTTGGAGGCCTGGGTGTTCCTGGGTGTTCCTGGGTGTTCCTGGGTGTTCCTGGGTGTTCCTAGCAAGGGAGGGGGCACGGAGGGGCTGCTGAGTTCTGTGCCAGCCCCGCAGCCAGCAGGAAGGACAAGGACTCTGTGCTGCTGTGCCTTTCCAAAGGACAGCCATCCTGCCAAGCTCACTGCCACACTGAGTGCCAGCAGGCGTGCCCTGACCCCAGCCCGTGCCAGGAGGCAAAGCAGAGCTGTGCTGATGCCCTGGGCAGGGCTGGCACTCGGTGCCACTGGCACAGATCCTGGCAGCAGGAGGGGCACAGGCAGGATTTGGGTCCAGGGGTGTTCTCCTGCTGCTGCTCCAGTCCTGCCCGGTGATTTCAGCCTTGGTGTGCCTTTGGGATGAGCTCTTTCATGGGCAGTGGTGTGGGTTAAAGCAGCAGTCAGGTGCTGTGAGATGCCCCCAGTGCCTCAGAAGTAAGGGGGGCTGTAATGCCTAAATCTGAATACCTAAATCTGAATGGGTGTGCATGGCTGGAATCCGTGCTCAGGACCTGACTGCTCAGGAGAGGAAACGGTGGCAGAACATCCTGCCAAGCCATTGCTTGCTGCTCTCCAGGGGCTCAAATGCAGTGGTTAAAGCAGTGCATTTAATGCAACCTGTGTTTATCCCACTGCTGCCCTGCACGTGCCTGCTCTGCATGCCATTCCCAGGCTGCTGCTCCATCCTGCAGTGGAGGAATAACTCTGAGCTGACGGCTGCCAAAACACAGCTGAAGGGGGACATTGAGGGAGCTGACTTCCTGAACACAGAATTAATAGATTCCTGTGGGAATGCTTCTTAGGCAGGTTATGGATTTTTTGTTGCTGTTGTTTGGAAGATGAACATTCCCAGACGTATTTTTAGAAGTGGCCTAAAAAGAAGAAATCAGTTCCATTTTTCTTATGAACAATCCTCCTGATGAGGTAACACATCCAGCAGGTCCTGCTGGCTCCTGCTGAAAGACTGTCTCCCCTGAAGTCTGGGTTGGAATGTTTCCCATGGAGCTCCTTGGAAGCCCTAAAGCAGCGATGATGCTGCACTAAAACACTGGGAAAGGAGGGAGGAAGAGCACATATTGCAGACAGTGTATTTTTATGAGGATTTGCTGAGAGGAAATGGAAATGGGATCTGAGAGCCAAGACAGAGCTTCCCCAGCCCTGGCAGGAGCCCCGGGGCAGTTCTCAGCGCTGGCAGCACAGCCCAGCCTCTCCCTCTGCCTCTGGGGAAGGGCTCGGGCAGGGCAGAGCCCCGCTGGGCGCCAGGACTGGCATCCTCACCTTCTCCTCTCCGGGCAGCAGCCAGCTGGGAACTGGCACAGACCTGCAGAGCTGCTGCCCAGGCCAGGGCCAGCGTCCCAGGGGTCTGGGATTTTGGGAGCCGTGCTGAGGAAAGGGATCCTGCAGGCAGAGGGTCCTGCTGCTGCAGGCAGAGGTTCCTGGTTCCTGCAGGCAGAGGTTCCTGGTTCCTGCAGACAGAGGCTCCTGCTCCTGCAGGCAGAGGGTCCTGCTGCTGCAGGCAGAGGGTCCTGCTCCTGCAGGCAGACCCGGGCTGGGCCCTCAGCAGAAGGGTCTGGCTGGAACACAGAGCTGCTGGGGAAGGAGAGCGCTGCTCTTCGGGCAGGGAGGCCAGCCTGGCAAGGCTTTGATGCCAGCTCCTGTTCAGTTGGCTCTTGGAAGACATTCAGGGAGCTGCTGGCTGCTTGGGGGAGGCGGCAGCACACCGTGGTGTCAGTCCTGAAATCCAAAGTTCTTCCACTTTACCTTGATTTTAGTGGGCCCTGGTGAGCTGGTTCAGGGGCTGGGCTGGCCCTGGCCAGTGCTCGTCTGGGGTTGTGAAAAGGCACCAGAGCTCCCAGCCTTCTGTTGCTGGGATATTCACCTCCTGGCACTGCAGCTAAGAGGGAATTTCAGCTGTACAAGGAGATTACTGCTAAGAGGATATGTAGGCTGCTGCCATGGGAAGGATCTCACCATCCCTTGAGCACTTTTGACATAAAGCCCACTAAAAAAACCTCTAAATGAGAAGAAAACAGTCTGAGTACTTTGTGTCTAGATGGCAAATGCCACAAATGCACATGTTTGTGGGGCACGAGTCTGTGCTCCTGCTGGAGGCTGATCTCCTTCCTGCTGCTGGCCTTGGATGAATCTTTCCTTTGCCTCCCCTTCCCTGTGCTGGGGGCTCTGGGACGAGCTGCTCCCTTGGGAGGTGCTGTCGGTGTGCTGGAGCTGCTGGGACCCAGTGCTGGAGTCCTGAGCCCAGTCCTGGAGTCCTGAGCCCAGTCCTGGAATCCTGAGCCCAATTCTGGAATCCTGAGCCCAATGCTGGAGTCCTGAGCCCAATGCTGGAGTCCTGAGCCCAATGCTGGAGTCCTGAGCCCAGTGCTGGAGTCCTGAGCCCAATGCTGGAATCCTGAGCCCAATGCTGGAATCCTGAGCCTTCCTGGGCTCCTGAGCCCTCCTGGAGTCCTGAGCCCAGTCCTGGAGTCCTGAGCCCAATGCTGGAGTCCTGAGCCCAGTGCTGGAATCCTGAGCCCAATGCTGGAATCCTGAGCCCAGTCCTGGGCTCCTGAGCCCTCCTGGGCCCCATTTGTTGGTTTGGCTGCCGAGCCCAGCGAGGGGCTGGCCCTGCCCGCTGAGCCCTCGGTGCCACAGCTCTGCTGTGCTCAGTGACCCTGGGCAGGGCTGGGGACACTGGGGCTGAGCTGGAATCCCAGCCTGGGCATCCCCTCCTGCCCACACAGACCCTGGGGGCACTGGGGCAGGGGCACTGGGGCAGGGGCTGAGATGGAATCCCAGCCTGGGCAGCCCCTCCTGCTCACACAGACCCTGGGCAAGGTGTCAGACAGGCTCTGGTGTGAGCAGGGAGCAGCCTGGCACTCATTTCCCTGACAAATCTGCACAGTATGGAGAGAATGTTTTGGTGCCTGTTGCAGCAGCTGCACACACCGTGCTCCTCTGCGTTCTTACAGCTTAACAAATTTGGCTGTCTAGACTTGCTGCCATTCACATTTTGTACTCTTCAGAAGAGTTTGCTGCTCTGCTGGAAAATGAAGGACATAAAATCTTGCCTCGTGGAGTTAAACTGGTCAGGTGCACCTGTAGGGAAGAACACTCTGGACTTCTGTAATTAATGAGTGTCTCTACCTGGGCAGAGAGAGACACGCTGGGCCTTGCCTCTGGCCCAAACCCACCTGGGATTCCATGATTTAGAGCTATAAGCCCACCAGGCAGGAAGTTACAGCCAAAACCTTGTGAAAACCTGCTGCAGGAGCCCCTGTAGATCTAAATTTAGTTATTAATGGGTGAAAATACCTTCTAGACCCTCTTCAGAGATGTTTCAGTTTTCCTTCCTGTGTCTACAGTAGCTTTTTAGCCAAAATGATCCTTTTCCCACTTCCTTTTGGGCAAGTGCCAGAAAATGAACCCGTTCAGCCAATATTCTCTCAGCCTCGTGCATTTTGGACTCGAGCACTGGTGTGCCAGCTGCTCTTCCCTGAGTGGTCCTGGCAGGGAGTTTGGTTGACAAGAGGAGTGAGGAGATCCTGGTTGGGATGACAGGCTGGAAGATCAAGTGCAAACTGAGCGATCCTGCTAAGCTCTCCTGGCAATTTTAAAGATCAGAAACCTGAGGTTTAAAAGGAAATTTTCATTTTTTAGTCAAATCTTTGCATGTTTCCGGGTAACGAGATAGCAGAATCCCAGCAGAGCTGACTTCCAGTGCTGAGCCTTTCCTGTGTGGGGATGAAGCTCTGGGGTAGGTGTGACCAGTCCTGGCCTCCACTGGATGCAGAAGCTGTTCCTGAGCTGCTCAGCAGTGCCAGATGTCCAAGGAAGCGATTTCCTGAGCGTGGCTGCGTGTGCAGGCAGGAGACGAGGCTGGAGGGTGGTCAGAAGGATGCAGCTTGTTTTGGAAGGGAGAGCAGAGCCCCTGCCCACCTTCCAAACCTGTGCTGGGTGAGAAGTGCTTCAGTGCAGAGCTCAGAGATCATGGAAAGGGCCAGGTCCATGTGTCTCAGGCTGCCCTGAGCACATCCCACACACCAGAGCCAGGTGCTGCCCCACTCCAGTCCTGGGAGCAGCTTTTGCAGGGGCTGCAGGGGTTTCAACTGTGACCTTTCAGGATGGTGGGGCTGGAAAAGCCCCCCAGCTCCCCCAGCTGCTCCTCAGAGAGCTCCTCATGCTCTTGTCCCAGCTCTGCTGCTCCTCCCCGGGCACAGAAGCAGGGATGTGTCCCAGGGAGAGTGAAATTGAGGATTAGATCCCAAGTGGGGCTGCACAAATGAGTCCTTAGGTGGCTCTGGGGCTCAGTCATTCTTCATCTCTCTCTTTTTGCTCCCCACGTACATGAAAGGCTGATTTATTTGAAATGAAATCCATGAAATGTGCTAATACCTGCTCTGGTGTTGATCAGGCTTAATGTAATAACCTCCTCTCGTGTCTGCTGGTTCTGCCGAGCAATCTGAGCACTTAAAACTTTCCTCCTCCTGAGCAGCCAGAGGCCTCTGGAGGCCTTTAAAAATAAACCCAGCACCAGGCAGGCTGAACAGGAGCCAGGGAACATTTCCCTGTCCGGCTGTCGATGATCAGATTGTACATCTGAGACTCTAAAGCACGGCTGGGGGCAGTGGCTGTTCGTCGTGTGGGGTGTGTAAATCAGCCCAGCCCCAGCAGCTCCGGCACAGGCAGGGTCAGAGGGAGCTGTGAGCCTGCTCCTGGCTGCAGGGCTGGCTCCTGTGCAGCTCCTGTGCAGCTCCTGTGCAGCTCCTGTGCAGCTCCTGTGCAGCTCAGGGCTGGCTCAGGGAAACCTTCCCTGCCCTGCAGCAGCTGGATTCCAGCTGTGCCTGCACAGCTGTGTGTGACCCCTGCTCCTGTGTGTGACCCCTGTGCCAGGCTGGGGATGAGGGGGAGCCAGGGAGGGGCTGGCAGGGGCAGAAACAGGGGCAGGAACAGGGACAGGGGCACGGGCAGAGGCAGAAATAGGGGCAGGAACAGGGACAGGGGCACGGGCAGGGGCACGGGCAGGGGCAGGAGAGGGGCAAGAACAGGGACACGGGCAGGGGCATGGGAAGGGGCAGGAACAGGGACAGGGGCAGGAGCAGGGACAGGGGCAGGAACAGGGGCAGGAGCAGGGACAGGGGCACGGACAGGGGCAGGGGCATGGGAAGGGGCAGGAGCAGGGACAGGGGCACGGGCAGGAACAGGCACGGGCAGGGGCAGGGCAGCAGCGTGCCGGGCACTCACCGGGAGCTCCAGGGCCTCGTTGAGCAGCCCGTTGCGCTTGCTGTGCAGGTAGGCATTGGAGCTGCCCGTCTTGGCCACGCGGATCCGCGCCAGGCGCGCCTTCTGCGGGAGAGACAGACAGCGGGGTCAGAGAGACAGCGGGGTCAGGGATGGGGACAGTGGGGTTAAGGATGAGAAACAATGGGGTTAGGAAAGCAATGGGGTTAGGAAAGCAATGGGGTTCGGGCTGGGGCACAATGGGGTTCGGGCCAGGGGAACCAGCACAGAGTGCCTCAGACCCTTTGTGTTCCCCAGGGTCACTTTTGGGGAGCTGCCGGGCGCTGCAGACCCGTCCTGGCCGTGCTCGGGGGGCAGGGCCGTGGGTGCTCTGCACCTGAGGTGTCTCCATTGCCCACCTTGCCCCCCTTCACACCCTTCCAGCCCCTCTTTGTCCCTGGGCTCTGTCCCTGTGCCTCTCTGCTCCTGCTGCAGGGACAGAGAGCCCTCGGTGAGTGGGGGCTGTGGCCCTGCAGTGGCACTGCTGCTTCACTCACTGGCACCTGATGAAACAACTCTGTCCTAAAACACCTCCAGGGGGACAAGTTAGGTGATGAGAAGCAGTCCAGAATAATGCCAACAAGAAAAACTAAGACCCTACCTCTTCCTTTTTGATCATTTTTGATAATTCCTTTTAGCATTTTCCTTTTTCTTTTCAATTGCTGCCTGCTTCTCTGTTGAGTGATTTGCCTTTTTTCTTTTCTACTGTTAATTTATGACTCAAATGCCATTAAAAGTAAATACATTAAATAGCTGCAGCTATTAAAAAATAATTACATTGTGCTGTAGTTTAAAATGCTGCATAATCCCTTAAATAACATGGAGCTCGTGATTTTCCCTTCTAATTAGAGGTGCTAATGGGTAAACGCTGTAGGAAGAGGAAAGGCAGGAGGCAAATTTCTGCAGTGGGCCCAGAGAGTGGAGCCATTTCAGGAGCTCTGTCCCTGTCCAGGTGCAAGCCACTCTGGCCCTCAGTACTGGAAATATTTGAAATATTCCTTTAACCTCAAGACCTTGTGCCCATGCAGACAATTTCTCAGGCAGACATGCATAGGGTAAAGTCTGCAGCTTTAATTAGGTGACACAGACTATGGCCAGTCACAAAAATAGGTCTTCTTTTGACCCCCCAGAATGGGGACACCTGAAATTGGCTTCATTTGCCACACCTCACCTAGATTTCCTTGTCCCATTTTAAGGCTGAGCCTCCTGATCAGTGTGGGGGGAGATTTCTGTGCTGGGCCAAGGCCCTGCTGGGGACAGGGCGAGGCACGGGCTGAGAGCACAGCGAGAGCTGAAACTGGATCTTCACTTTTTGGGAACACTTCCCCAAGCTGCTGTGCTGCTCCAGGCCCTGAAAAGGACTGGCCTTAGAACCTGGAACAAAATCCACGGGGACTGCTGCTGTGGAATGGGGCTGTGGGAGAGACAGGATGAGAGACTGAGCAATATTCCATTTTCCAGCTACATGGCATTGTGCCTCTGCTCCTGAAAGTTCCATTTCCATTAGATGGTTTCTTCTAAACCCAACTCTGTGTCTTTGTGTGCCTGTTCCTTACTTTTCACAGTGATCTCTCTCCTCCAGCAGTGGATTTGGGAGGCAGTGGTGGTTTTTCCAGGGATGCTCTGATGGTCACCACTGAAGGTTCCCATTTCTCTCTGTGCCTGATAAAATATCAGCTCCTTTGCTGGAGGAAGTGCCAGTGCCCAGCTTACCTCACCTGTAGCAGGGAAGGTTCATCCTCGCCTCCAGTTGAGTCAATTGTTAAAGTGGATTCAGTCTCAGGCTGTTGTAATGAACATTATTCCCTCTGCCTCCAGGCTAGCAGGGGATCAAATATTAATAGCTGTACTCCATGTGGAGTGGAGATGGTTCTGAGGTCTGTTCCCTTCTCCTTTTGAAACAGGGCCACTTGCTATCTAAATAATTAAGCCCCACAGCTTTTGTAGCTTAGAACAGACGTTGTTATTTTAGAAAATGTCAGTGGGGCAGGACAGAAGTTAATCCTGCTCTCTCACACAAAGGATTGGCGGGGATCGGCACAGCGGCCAGCTCCGGGTCCCCATCGTGATTAAATTTGGTAGATATCTTGATTAACTCAGCTAGAGAAGTTAATTAAAATTGGTGCCTAAAATTGGTTTGGCCCTCCTGACAGTTTCCTCCATTGGACTAGAAAGAACTTTAAAACAACAGCTCGGGTTTTTCTGTGCATGTCTGTGTGCAAATGTGAATTCTCTGAAAGCTCTGTCAGGTGGCACAAGCTCTGCCTCTGTCCCGTGGCTCTGTGGGCTCTGGCACTTGGATCAAGCCTGACAGCAAAGAAGGGTTTGAGATCTGCCAAATTCTCCACTTTTTGCCACACGTGGGCAGGTTTTTGCCACCCCTGTCCTGCGGAGCTCAGCGCTCCTGGCCGGGCAGGTGGAGGCCTGTGGTTCTCTGCCCTTCTGCTGCAAACATCATTTTTGGGGAGGGGTGGTTGTCTTCTGCATCTTCTGCCCCAGATGTGACAGACTAAAGGTCAGCAGGGCCGGGCCTGAGATCACTGTTACTGAAATAACCCCTGCACAGGAGGCTAAAAAAGGAAAAGCAAACGGCACACTGTGTCTGCATGGAGATGGGGAGAGGAGTTGCTAGGAAACCACAGGATCTCAAAATGCATATGACCTAATCTGGAAGATAATTTATATGATGAAAATAATAATACTAATGACAGCCACTTACAGGTTAGAATGATTAATTTGGTTATCTTGGAGCCCACGTGTTTCTCAGAGCAGGATGGAAGGCAGGGCTCAGTAACTTCTGGGCTTGGCTGGTTTTTAAGAATCTGGAGGCTCAGGATGAGCAGGAGGCAGTGAAACCTGCACAGGTGGGGAGGGTGCAGTGTCCTGGGTGTCTGCACTTCCCAGAAGGGCTGGCAGAGGACAGAGAAGAGCCTGAGTTCATCCCTTTGCTTTTTGGAGAAGTGCAGGGAGCAGGAGCTGCTGCCTGGGAGAAATGCTTACCAGATGGCAGGCTCAGGAAACAGCTAATTATTATTTATTAATGATTTTCATCCAGCTCTTATGGAGATAACGCTCACTCTTGATTTATGTGGGATAAAAAACTATTAGGCTAGATCCTATGACACCATTCCCTATTTGCCAGACAGCTTCAGCTCTCCAGCTCCTCTGTTCCTGGGTGGGCAGGGAGTGCAGTGCCTGCATGCCAGGAGCTCTGCAGCCCCATCTCCCTCTGCATCAGCTCCCTCTGAGCTGTCCCTTCACCCCTCCTCAGCCTTTCCTCACTGAGAGGTGTCTGTCCACCTCCCACCTCCCTTTCTGCTAAAGCCTCACCAGGAGGCAGAGAGTGCAGCTACTCAAGCTAATTAACCACGCTTTACCTGCTAATTCCTCAATAATTAACAGTTTGAATCTTATTGGTGATTGCAGCAGTAGGTGAGCACCACTGGGCCTTTAAGGATGAAATGAAGCTGCTCTCCAAAGTCATCAGCGGAGTGTTTTGGATCTGGTTTTTATTCTCAAGGTGAAATATCACAGCCATTCAGCACGTGCTTGATTTCCCTGCTTTTCCCTGCATCTGTTGCTGGTTTGGGGTTTGGACTTTAAATCCTAGATGGAAAGGACGTGGCTGACCCTTGAAGATGGAAAAGGTGTCAAGCAGATTGCAGAGTTAAACAGAGCACAGCACTGCTACAGGAGCTAAGGGGAACTTTCTCTTCTCCTTTTTACCTCTTATTTTCTCTAAGAAACAAAGTATGCACTTTTGGATTTTACTTCCTCTCAAAGCTTTACATTAAATGGCTTTTGAGCCAAGTTCAAGTATTCTGTCACTTTTGCTTCGGGGAGATGTTATAGAGCTGCATATGGAAATTAGGTAGCGTAGAACTCATTATATTCCTATATAATTTGATAGAACCACTTGCAGTCAGACCTTGATCTTATTTTGGGCCTCTTCATTACTTTCCAGAGATGAAAGATTCCCCTCTCCTCCTCCGTGCCTCTCCTTTTAATGCTACCTTACCCTTGGCACCATTAAAGCAACAGAACATCATTTCCAATGAACTTTATCGTTTAATCTTTCCCACCACTGAGGAACACGGTGTTCAGGCTATTTATAGAACAATGCACAGAATGTGGAGTTTAATGGATCTGGGCCCTACAGCCACAGATACCCTGGCTGGTTAAATGGGAGCTCTGGGCAAGGACTGACTTCATGGACCCTTTCCCCTGACTGAGTTATGTTTTACACACTGCCTGAAACTCAAAACTTCCTCTCTGCTGAGGGTCCCACAGCACCAGCCCAGCTGGGGGAACAAAGCACCTCTCTTCCCTTCTCTCTCCCTTCTGGAAATAATAACAGAAGAAATTCCTGTGTGCACTTTTCTATAGTATGAATGCTGGAACAGGTTGTTGGAGCTTGGGTCAGAATTGCTCCAAGGATGTCGTTAAAGAGGTGCCCAGTTGTAGTGGGAATAATCTGGAATAACTGGAATTGTTATGGGGTGTAAATCAGAACTTGTCTAGAAATTTATTACTTTAAAAAAAAATAAAAGTCCCACACGTTTTCCTGCATCATTAATAGGGATGCTGCTGTTCTGCATTAGTCCAGCCTAGAGCTCAGTGTTTCACTGGGAGCCAAGCATGATGAGCAGCTGTCTGCCTGTGATTTATCTGTCTGTCCTTCCTTATCTGCACTTTCAGAGCTGGCTTTTATAGCATCTTTCACACGGCTCACACCCCCAGTTAATAGCTATGAACTGTTCAGGGGCTGGAGGAATTAACAGAGTTTGATCTGGTGTCACCTGCCAGGTCCTGGCCCTGATGGATGAGCACTAATTAATGGTGTGGAGCTAATTAATGGCAGCTGCAGGGAGGGAATGGCTCAGGTGGTGTCACCTGTGGGACAGGTCCCTGCTGGCAGCAGCCAGGGGCTGTCCCCAGCTCCATCCCCTTTCCCAAGTGCGAGATCTCTGCCCCAGCTGAGCAAAGTGCTCCTTGCTGGCAGCCAGAACTGCCCACAGCTCCTCACCCCACACCAAAGCTGTGACAGTGCTGCCTTTCCTGCTGGA